GATGATGATGATGATGATGATGATGATGATGATGATGATGATGATGATGATGATGATGATGATGATGATGATGATGATGATGATGATGATGATGGGCCACGTGTATTTGTGATGATGTATGATGTGTATGATGTGTATGTCAATCAGAAGCGCAATCAATTTGACTTGGTTAAGAACCCAGTGGATACTGCATAATTTGTCGGAACATTTGACCCTGTTGGGAGTCCAGCACGTGAGGAAAAGAACTAAAAATCCCTTATACATATTATCCTATCAACCACCAGTCAACACTCTAGCATGCGCTAGCGAGCACAGCGCCGCACCGGTTTCCACCGGCACCCCGACCCGTCCGAAAACGCTCGGGACCGTCCGCCGAAGCCCGAGGAGCTGAAGTACTTGATCGACACAGCGCACGGATTGGGTATCCAGGCAGCGCGACGGACGACCGGTCGACCGCCGTGAAACCGCATAGCGCCCATTCAAGCAATTGCTGGGGGGGGGCGGAATGGAGTGCTCCCCCCCAAAAGTCGTAGCAACTACCGGGCTACAATGAGTTACATTGATATAATATTAGCTGAACAACAGCTCCCACCGCCAGCACACACACAAACATTATATAACAAACACAATATATATATATATATATTGTAGTATAATAGTATCTCAACATATGCCAGATTCAGGACATGTCCTACTCCCAGAGAGTTGTAAGCAACATCGATTCTCATGTTATATAATGTTATGTGGGCCGAGTCTAATCTATACTCAATGCTAACACCGCGAAGTTCGCCTAAACCCTAACACCAGGTGCTCATGGACCTGGTCCACGCGCATGCATCATCCAATACCTTGGATGGCATTGCACAGCATCTCGGAGAAGAAGGACGTGGAGATGTAGGAAGACAGCAGGACACCGCCTTTGATGGGGAACAGCTCACCAATTGCAGTTTCTTGAGGAGAATTGCAAGTGTTTCATTCTCAACGGTAGTTTGACCGGAATGGAGAATGTATTTCGATGATGCAGGGTGAACAAGACCTGGGCTGATGTGCCCATCCCACTTATTTCCGATAGACCATGTTACCTGCCGTCCAGATCCTGCCCAGTGGGGCAGCTCGTCCCTCTTTAACAACGACCTTCTGCAACAAGAAGGACTTGGTGAAATATGGTGAAACATGGTGAAACACCCCGCTCACCATCACCCCCCCAAGAACCTCCTCTCTGTGGAAAAAGTGGCACCTCACCGACCAACGACCAACTACGGAGAGGCGCCATTGGTTGGCCGGTCCAAGGATGGACGGAACGGATCATTGCTATACCCATGGAGGTTTGAAGGCGGCTGCAGCTGCGGGGCGTATGGTTTTGTTTTGTTCTTTTGGATTGTGGAAGAAGGATGAAGGAACAAAGCTCACATAACCACCTGGTACTGGCATTGCGAAACCTTTATATATGGCTTTGGTATTCTTACGTATATATATATATATAATATGTACTCCCCAGGCTCCAAGACCATCATTTGCATTTTTTGAAGTTGATCTTCTTGCAATTCGACAGAGCGGTCCCTGTGCCCGCAGGTCTCCTGGTTGGTGTTTTTCTTTGCTTGGAGGATCCAAACCAGAAATGAGACGCACATGGGGATCGTAAGGGTTGGAGATGGTTGGAGGCATGCGTGACACATTGCGAACCTTTTTGCGGAGTTCAGATTGTTATCCAGGCAGAAAAGCTCCACATGTTTTGCCTGTTTGGGTTTCTGACGCATTCCTTGGTATGGTTTGGCTGTCGTATTTTTGGGTGCGAAGCGCCTGTCCAGTGCAAATGCCATTTTCGGAGTGGGTTTGCAGTGCCAGTGGCCCGTCATCCACCGCATCCACCTTGACCTTGGACAGGGCCATCATTCAGACTGGGACTCCAAAATCTTCAACTACCTCAAGTACGAGGTGGGAAGAAGCAGGACCCCAAATGTTTGCCGCCACTGGGAGGTGGGCCTGACTAGGGAAAGCTGGTGGATTGCGTTCCATTTTTCTTTTACTTTAGATTCTTGCAACAAAGCAACATAATACGTACATAATCATCCTAGCAACCCAGGAGGTCCACAGATTAAGATGGCTGACAATGAAAGAATACTCTCAATAACAATTATTACACACATGTTTTCCTCAATCTCAATGAGGCCTTTCCACACGACATGTCCCTTTGAAATACTCCTCATCTCACCAGGAATAGACTGCAGTGTATTTGGTCTCTACCTGTACCGCAGCCCGGCACCCCCGCGTACCGCAGCCCGGCACCCCGTCATGATCCGTCATGATCGGATCACACGGCCTTGGTTGATTGATAGAGGGGATACCTCCGGTCGTGAAGAACTTTGAAAAACCAATGAATATATTATATATATGTAATATACCAGGGCCTTAGAGGTGAAATGGTGTCCATTCACCACCCCTTGTCATTGTGGGTCCTGATATCAATGAATCTATTCGTAGCAAATCGACCCCTCTATTCGTCCTCTTCGGGCGGACAAGCCTTCGATGCAGTAGGTCCTGCGGTTCTTGCTCTCCAACGTCAAGTGGTGGTTGGAGGACGGCGGGGGCGACGAAGGAGGTGTGAGGGAAATGATTCATCCACTCTGGATGGTATAAGTACATGACCGGACTGTGCATCACCGACCAGCAGATGGAAACGTCCTGTCCCATCGCGGAAGCGAGGATGGAAACGGTGAAGCGGCGTCGGACGAAAGGTTCTCAAAGGAGAAACCCAACTAGGGCAGATTCGTGCTGAGACACGCCGTGGTGACGGGCCTGAGAAGACACAGTTCACAGTTTGCCGGCAGTGGTATCGGCGCATCGGCGCCATGAGGCAGCAAACACTTCGTGTATCGATCACAAGGACAGATGTAATTACTATCTTGCAGACAGGGAAGGTATCAAAGTTTGGAACAGCTGTCATGAACCACCTGAGCGGACCTGCCAGAGTTTTGGGACGAACTGGGTGCCGAAGTTCACGGCCAGTTCACAGCCAACAGCCCGCTCACCAGGCACCCGCAGCAAAGCTTAGGACCCCCCCCCTTCAACCCTCCAAAACAACTGCAGCCTCTCCGTCGCCTCAAATTCTGCCTGACGAAAGCACCTCTTCCTCCGCGAATCGCTGCTTCAGGAATACCAGTTTGACGGCTTCCGCTTCGATGGTGTTACCTCCATGCTGTGCGCGTCTGATGGGTGATTGAAGCTTTCATGTCGGTGATTTCGAGAGGCTAAAGTCAGAGTCACTCATGTTGCAGTAGTGCGCAAAAGCAGCCGCAAAGAGTGGAAAGAATTGGGAAGATCTTGCCATTCCACGAGACGGACTGGAATGACCACCCCCAATGGGTTGGGTTGGATCATCACAGCTTTAGAGGTGGCAAATGGGAAGAATGTCACTGGCACTGGGTGGAGTTTGTGTCCATTTCATCCAGATCCACAGAAACCGGGGGTGATCAGGGGAGCCAGTTTTCCGCCTCGCTCTGGCATGTCACACTGTTCTTGTCAAAGCAATTTAATATGGGCATTTGCTGGCTGTTGGCCAAGCTTGGACAGTACTGGCAAAGATCCTTCCAAGTGCAATCAGTGGTGCAAATTCAGCTGAATACCGTTCAAACTGGGCTTTCTTCCGGAAGAAGAAGGTCAAGCCTAGAGCATGCGCTGAATCCGTGTGGCTGAAATCAGAAATACCAACCTGTCCCGAAGAACACCCTCAACAGTCGGCCCAGATGATTCTCATCGATGGCCCTTGTCGGCCTTACCAGAGACTCAAAGTTAAAGCTCTCCTCCCAAATCCGAAGTGGAGATCCTGAGATTGATACCGACACCATGTTGATCGGACACGTTTTCTTGAAGCCAGCAACGGGAGCCATGGCGCGTTTGGGTGCTCTGCCATGTCAACTGGTCTTGCCGCAAGATGCTGCAGAGTTGAATCAACCCAAGGCTAGTGATATATTAGAGCCCTTGGAGGATGGTGCGAACATGGATGATGATAGAACATGTTGCATATGTTTGGACACCAGTGCATGCAGCGTGGCCACCAATATCACGTTGCTTGCTTGGAAAGCTGGTTCCAAAAGAGGCCCTCATGTCCAACGTGTGGGCACTTCTATGGGGATCGCATGGGCTCCATGCCGGATGGGACGATGTCTTGGAGCTCCAGCAAGTTTCGATTGGCTGGTCACAGCTGTCCCACGCTTGTCTTGCATTTTTCATTTTCCAGTGGATCCCAAGGTGGCCAGGACTATGATGGGCGCTCCCAGCATGCCTATTTACCAGACAACGAGGAGGGGAAGAAGCTCCTGGCCATGTTTCAGCTCGCCTTCCGGCGGCGAGTGCTCTTCAGCCTGAGTCCCTCTCTCACCACCCAACGCCTTCATCCCACCTTCGCCATTCATCTGAAGACCTCGATGACGGGTGGACCAGCCAGGCATGGTTTCTCAGAGTGCTAAAGGACCTAGGTGTGACCTTTATCTAACAGGCAGTAAAAGATGATCGACTATATTTGAGAAAGGCCTCTACTAATTACCATCATCGTGCACTGTTGCTGGCAATGGGACATATATATATATATAGGTTTGCAATATATAGGTTTGCATTTTAATAGGGGGACCTCCCAACCAATGGATTTGGTCTGTTTTTGATTTTCCCAGAAGTCGAACTGAGGGGTCTCCCTATTCTAAGGCACAGCCATATATACTCAACTCAGACCTTTTTGCAATTTTTCATCCTTTTTGATTTATTTATTGGGGGACACCGGAAGAAACCACAGGCCTTACGTGTTCTTCCAACCTTTGGGCGGTCCACGCCCAGCTTTGGGTCCGCCGAGTTTTCAGAGGTCACCCCACCATTCCCGGTGGAAGAGTATGGGGATAGTCGGGTAGTTGTGGAGGCATCCTCCTTCCAAGGCTACCCAGATGAGCAATACTTCAACTCTGCCATGGAAGAGCTTCGGAACGCTGGGATTTCCCTGGAGGCTGCCACTCCCGTGGCCATCGGCCTCAACGCTTCACTGGCCAGTCGCATCAGACAGAAGTGTGGTTTCGCAGCTGAATCAGGGAACTTTGGACAGCCTCTTATTCTTTTTTGAGACACTGGACGATGTTGGTCGGATCTCCCCCTTCAGTTGAAATGATGTTGACAGCTGCTATTCTTTGCCTGGCCGAAGGAAAAGCAAGATCTATCATGAGGGACAATATGTGCGTATATGTGCGTAGTGATGCGCATTGCGCTCATCAGTTGTCCCAGAAGTTGATTCTCAGATAGCTTGATTCGTGGCTGAGGTTTTGTCTTAAGCCAAATCGAATCAAAGCTGCTGATGGCCTCCCTCATCATTCTCTGGATCACACCTCAGGGACGTGCGACCTTCTTTCCCTGCTTTTCGATCCTGATCGTCTTGGGCCTTCCGCCGAAGCCTGGAGTGGCCTGGTCCGCGGTCTTGTTCTTCACCTATTTTGGGACGACGACTCCAAGGGCTGATGATGAGGCACGACTCCAGTCATGCGGCGATTTGGTGATTTCATGTGATTTCAGTCGAACCCCCAAACTGAAGAATTCCTGCTCAAGATGGCAAGAAAATATCAGAAATGCAGGAAACAAAATACGGCCCTCACGCTTTGAGATGAGGCTGCCAAGAGCCTTTGGAACATCCAACATCTGACTTGACGTTTCAAAGTGCAAGCTGTCTATACCAAGGAGCAGCAGGCAGAGTTTAGCTTTGTCATGATGAGCCTGAGTCAATAAGTGGTACACTTTTCATCTTTTGATTTCAAGTATACAGCATCCATCGGGCGGCTTCTGGTTTGTGCTCACGATCGGGAAAGTCTGTTCTACCCAGACATGCTGTGCTCAATATCCTAGCAGTTCGCCTCAACCTTTCAAGGTGTCACGTCAGGTCTCCATGTCGTTTAGCCCTGGCACAGAGACCTGAATGGCACCTGAAGAAGAACAACTTCGATGCCCCCACCGGTTGGTTGAACGGTCATGGTGGGAAGAATTTCTGGAGAGGCTTGAGGCATCGGTCAGGCTACTTCATCATTTGTAGGTCGATGCCGAGCAGTTGCCATGCTGGCCTTGACATTCACATGCGGTCCTGTATTGCAGTATAGGGTTCTCAAATTCTGTCATAGAAAGCTCTTTGCAGACTCCAGACATCTACAGACCTCTCCTGGGCCCAGAGAATTCTTTTTTGGGGAGGAGCAGACCGTGTTCTCGTTCGACGGACTCAGGAGCATCATTCTCATCTCCTGGCTCTTCGCGCTGCTCAAGGTCCTCCTGACACCTCGCTGCAGCTGCTTCAACCGGATCCAGCGCAAGACCCGTGCCGCGATCCAGGTGCCACATGTGAAGCCACTGGGACCGATGCCATGGTGGGTGGGGGGCCGTGGCACGCTTGGGGTCACAGGTGATGGATCTGATCTCTTAATTAGAGAACCATACACTCTGAGCAGTTGATCCGCTACAGTGCAGCAGTTTGGGGATGACCGAGAGGTTAGAGGTTTACCGAGGTTTTCTCAGTTTCCCTCGCTACATGAGGACATTTCATTGGGATCCCAGGTGCCGTCCTGCGGTTTGTTCGCCGTTGGAGCTGTCCAGTCAGGGCTTGGAAGGCTTTTGTGGCTCCCAGAGCCCCTTTTGACCTAGGTCGGTTGAGTCACGTAGGGCTGGGCACAAGTTGGTTTGGAGGACATTTGGCATCTCAAAGCCTGAGTTCTGAGCTCTGAGTTGGTCTTTTAGACTGCAGTTACTTGAGTCACTTGAGTCTCTTTTGCCCCTTCCCCTTTTGTGTTTGGGATGATGCTGGGGTGAGGACTCTTTTGACCATCCTTGTGTTGCTGCTGGCGTCGGGCTATGAGACCAGAGCTGGGCGTATAGCGCTGGCCCTTTGCTCCATCCATTTGCTTCTGATTTGCATTTGCATCCCATGCCCCAGTTTCAGGACCGGGTTTTGCTCCAAAGACGAATTTATGTGCCTTGTTAATCTAAAGGATGCCCCCTTTCTCCACTCGACACGTCGCACCGGGACTGTCCGCTTCGTTGTTCGGCGCTGGGGTGGACGATAACCCGAGCGCGTCAGGAGCTCCATCAGCTCCTTTGGAGAACCGTTGGAGAACGAGATGGAAGAGGTACTCCGTCAGGCGAGGACTTGGAAGATACCGAGGGTTGGCTTTGACAGTGGGACTTCTCATGCAACAAAAATATGTTGATTGTTTATAATTTAGAAAACACTTTCTGACATAGCAAAAGCATGCAAACGCGTCACTGCGCAGAGCCAGCGCAGCCAGATGTTCGCTTCAAACAAAATTAGATACCACGAAGATCGTTGAATGAGTGCTTCACAACGCATAAACTCAAGAAAGATACCCTGGAATTGCATGGATTTCCCATCTATTATTGGTCGTGCAGTCATATTATATTGTGGTATATTGTGGTCGTCTTTGGCCTGGTCGAACATCATTCTGAGGACCTCATCACGGAACAATCACGTCGCTAAGCCTAGCCATGTACTGTGTTTCAGGTGGAATCCTTTCTTGAACAGTCAACAACTGAAACCTTTCTTTGTGACTCACAGAGAAACAACAGGGCTCCCCAGGGCTCGGCAGCAACCAAGTATGCAACCAAGTCATCACCCATGGAAGATTGGACGTGCAACCTTGGTGGTTTGCGGGAAATGTATTTTTTTTTGCCAATAGAAACATCCTTTGCAGCATATCTCAGGCACTCTCCTTGGACGATTCGTTCTGCAAGCGCTCTCCCCAAGCTGAGCTGGCAGGTGGGGGCAAACCCGGAGCATGGCCTCAACAGCTGCAACGTCTTTGTGGATGCGAGCCAACGGGTTTTTGATGAGATGAAGGAAGAGCACTGGGCGCTCTATGCCTCAACGCCCTCCTTGCAAGGGCGTGCAGATATGAAGGCCAATGGCACATCAACAGAGAGCCCCCTAAAAATCTAGAACACCAAGACCATCTTGAGAGCTGTTCAGGAACAGTTTTTTGCCGCGCTAGCAACAGATAGCAACAGCACATTCTTGTGTCAGTGGCCAGTTTCATGCACCACCAGCCTACGTTTTTTCGTGGATTGAGAGTAGATGGCACAATCCCCCAGTCGTCTGGACCGGACCCCAATCCGGTGCCCATCGAACCTCTATCGCTCCACTGCCATCGAACCGCTGAAAGCGCGCCACGTTCGACTCCACATCGCTCTGGGACCCCGCGCTCGGACTGAACGGACCCCGCTCTCAGGGACGGAGCGGGATACGCCGGTGGCGCAACGGACCGGGATGCCGAACGGGAGAGGACCGGGAGCCCCAGAAAACCAGTTGACTTCCCGCTACCCTTAGTTTGCAACTCGGCTGAGCGCCTGGAATGGACTTTGTGGGGAATTCGACTGGACTTTCGTACCATGGACATCCATGGAATGTGTGATCCGAAGAAGACGAAACCAATCATTCGAACAAATCGGTTCTTCCCTTCCTTCCGCCTGAACCCTGTGGAATCCCGTTCACTCTTTGCATTACGTCGGAGGAGGACCCGGAAAACCTTGCAGAATTGGCGACGCCCCACTCAACAGGAAAGGAACAGCTGGAGTTCGTTCGGTTCACTATGTTTCCAGCAAAGCAGCTCGGGAGGTCAGGCGAGTCAGGTGGGTGGATGTCGGTGATGTGTTTGCTCAATTTTGCTCGGGAGTCCTAACCCTGGAGTGTTCACAGGCCATCCTAAAAGACTTCCTCCGATCGGTGAAGAGACCCTTGCGCTGCAGAGCCAGTGGTGTGATCCATGAAATGCTGGAGAACGAGAAGCGCTGGGCCAGTGAAGGCTATGTGGTCTTCTACCATCTCTATGCCGCCAAGTGGAAGATCTGGACACGGTCTCGAGGGGTAGAAATCTGCTTCGACCGGTCTGAAACTCGAACATGTCACCTTTGTCTTCTGCTTTTTATTGTCCTCTCTGATTGATTGCCTTATACATCCGCCTTACTCGACTGGCTGGTTGACAGAGGACATCAACCGCATGTCTCGAAGAATGTTGAAGATTGTGGAAGTGTAGAATAGGGCCAATAGGCCAATAGGTATACGGAATTATACGGATGTGTATGGGGATGGGTCAAAACCAGCACCATGTAGCTTAGTCACGTTGGGCAGACCATCCTACCGTTTCCTACAGGTAGGACGAGGTGTCCTCTTGAGATAAATCATTGGAGCTGCTGATTTCCCATCGCTGCGGATGACACTGGTCTTCTTCCCCGGGGAGGGTGTGTTTGGTGCTTTAAACACAAGAGTCTTGGGGGAGTGGTGAGTGGAATTCTTCTCAGCCAAATGGATCAAGTTGATCTTTCGAGGTGCATTTTGAAAGATGCCCCTGGCACCCCCTGGCAAATTTGACCAAGAGGAATGGATACCCCTTTCGAGCCTAGAATGGGGAATGCCAACCTGAGGCACTCTCCAGTGTCCTGTACGAGCTTCAAACTGCTTTGGCGAACGAACTCTTGGACTATCCATTGGCTGGGCCACCAGTGATGCGGCTCTCACGCAGAGCCTTTGGAGACATCCGTTCGCTTTCCGAGGTACTGTCCATCCGTGATCATAACATCAGCGATCACGCGCACGAGTACCGCGCGTTGGCGGTGTCGGCCTTCTCTTCATGCTTCGCCAGTGGAGGATACACTCGCAGCATGCAGCGGTATATGATGCAGGGCTTTCCGAGCGGCACCAGCAACTATGTGAAGAAACTGATTGATGATTTGCTCTCTGCCGTAGGCATTGATCAGCCTGATGTGATTCCCACCCTGCGGTCAAGAATCCTGGCAGCTGGCAAAGCACAGGGCTTGGAGGCGCGGAGCAGCTCAAGAGGTCGTCCTGTGCGGCGGTTTTATGTGTCTGTTGCTTGAGACCCCAAGTCAAGGGTCATCCCAAATGCCCAGGTTGCTGGCTACGGACACGGGCAGACTTGCTATTTGAGTTGGCAAATCCCATGTCCGGACTGCCCCCGGAACAGTTGAACACATGGATCACCTCCCCCGGACGAAGGCATGTTTTCGTCTGAGGCTTTGGGTCAGGTTTTGCAAATCTTCCTCCACGACTCCGTGGTAGACGCCTTCGCCTATGGCTCCCAGCCCTTGGGGGCTCTGGCACCTCGTGGACTGCCAGTGAGTGCTTGGCTCCGGCAGCAGTGCCCCATCGAGGGCCAGGTCAGGCTGGTTCCTCATCCCGACCTCTTCCTGGCGGGTGCGACACCCAGAGGCTGGACAAAATGCTTGGAGGGTGAAAGGTATGATTTTTTACATCAACACGTAAAGGATGTCTGAACTTAAAAGTTCTTCTGGAAAACAACAATCACGGACGACTTTTTGAGGTCTGAACAGGGTGAGAGACCGTGCTTTCTTGCCAGCAGATCAGAAGTACGTATTTCTTGCAAGAAATGGGATGCATTTTATTCCACTATAAAACAACAAATTAAATATATATATATATATATACGTATATATATATATATACCGGGACACCCTAAGGGGCTTCTATTGATAGCCCCTTAGATGTTAAGGGGTGTCCATTAACCACCCCTTGTGGGTCTTGGTACAGGCACAAGTTTCAAGGGGATGCAGTCTTGCATTATCTTTTTCATTCAGAAAGCCACAGTTTTGTTTTAGTGACACCCACATAATATGGGCTGCCTTGGTCACACATTGGCTTTTGACTCACCCCCAAAGGCAATAGATGAGAGTGAATTTCCTTTTAAAGATCAAATTGGACCGGAACCAGGACTCAGAATGTTTGTTGATCTTTAAGTTGCTCTCGATCCGATGAAATTTGGTCTCGCAACTTCTTGGACTCTAGACTCTATACATGTGTTTTTTTTTCAAAAACATATGTTCCCGTTTGTGAAGAGACACAAACTTCTTCGCCGACCTCCGCGTCGGCGCTTCGCGGAGGTCCTTTGGTGCGGATCTTTGACCATTGTCCCTCAAGGCGGTGCGTCGGTGTCGGCGGTGTCAGCGCCGCGTCGGACCGTTTCTATCGTTTCTTCGGACACGGGGTAAAAGGGGACGTCGAGGCCTTCGGTTTCTGTTTTGAAAAGGGGTTCCTTTGGCATTTTTAGCATCGAAATGAGGGGTCTCTCTATTCTAAGACATACATCGCTGCATCATCCAATGCATTAGCAAAGACGTCTTCCAAATGCTTGTTCGTACCTTGGCAGGGCGGTCAGGGTGGTTGCTGCGGTCAGAGACTAGGTGTGAAGACGTGGGTATGGCGCCAGATATGGGTAAACAAACCAAAGCAGGCTGATCGTGCCATAACCATCACAAGGCTGACTGGCTGGGACAAGATGGGCCAAGCAGTTTGGAAGGTTCTTTTATCGTGTTTCAGTGGTGCTGAAGCTCTGGCACCACCAGCTGATGCTCCAAGAGACCTCGTGGATCCACCACACACCACCAATCGTAGGATTTGGATATATTTGGATGGATTTGGGCAGATTTCCATGGCTGAAAAGCATGGCTTTCAGCATGGCTTTCCTCAGACATTTGTCTCATCAAAGGTTGATTTCGTTTTCTGACGTGTTTTTGTTGGGGGGCTCGATCCCGAGGGCCTTGCAGAAGGTAGCCCTCCGACGCGAGCTGCAGTCTTTGCTGCGGCCCTACCTGAACATCGAGCGAGCGCGGCAGTTGTTGGGCTTCGAGTCGACCAGTGATGTACAGGCGACGAACACGCTCGACGCAGTGGTGTGACATCGCAGTGGTGTGACGCTCGACGCTCTCTGACATCGCCGACGCCTTGGTCGACGAACCAAGACGGTACCGTGCAGATCCGTGCAGGGCGTTGGACCGCGCAAAAAGGCGGGCGTTTGATCGGGTGGGGTTTGAGGATGGTGTGAATGATGCGTTTGGTTGAAGGAGACATGGCTTGTGCGGTGGCAGGTCATATTGGGTGCCAATCACCCATTGTAATTAGATAACCAATTAGATAACCCGAAGAACCTGTTTGGAACATTTTTTGGAGCACCCCGCTGACAGGCAGGAACAGGTGGAGTTCATTCGGATTCTTTCCTTTTTTTCGGAGAAACATGGAAATACGATTCCGGAATCGGGTTTTGGGATGTCGGTGATTTGCTCAGTCGTTTGCTTGGCGTGCGCACGCTGATGGAGAAGCGCGGGAGGTGATCCAAACCACCATCTTGGTAGATCGAGAAGGTGCCAATCAGAAAAGCAAGACTAGCCAGCGGAAAACAGCGGAAAAAAACGTCCTCCCATCCCAGGTACCATTCCCACGGCATCGGAAAGGGATACACCGGTGGATTTCACGAATACTTCGGACCGGATGCTGACATTGACAGTCCCCTCCTCAGCTGTGGGGTGCGTGGGACCGGGAAAAAGCGGGGTCCGGGGTCCGCAAGGGTCCACACAAAGCTGTCCAGCTAGTAATGAAGGTTTGCTATAAATGTTTCCTTTGTAGGTAAGAGAGGCTGACATGTTGTGGATAGACTGAAGTCTTGAGCATCACTCTCGGGAGATGTTAGATCAACTGATCAACTCTGATTCTCTGGAGCTGGACTTATCCAGAGTCACTGGACTGGACTTCTTAACGAGATGCTGAGGCAACATTGACGCATATTGACCTCTTAGGCCTCACGAACATCCTTACCATGATGATTGCTGCCTTCGCTGGTTTCGTTGCGCCCTGGATCCTTCTTTTTTCGCCCCAAGACATGAATTGATCTTTGGAAACATGGAGTGAAACCTTGAAGGGTTTCAATTGTTTGTTTTGGTGATGGAGTGATGACCCTTGGATACTCTTGGTGTATTGGGGTCCTTTCTTGGCGTTCTGTGAGGGTTCCGCTTGGTTCAAGGATTTCTCGCCCAGTCGGAGCGTTGAATGGTACCAGCTGAGGGAGTATGAGGGCCCGGTGCACCTATCAAGATGGGGGCTGGAACCCATTAGATAGATAGGTCTTGCCTCGAGTTTGGTAGGTCATATCTACCTGATGCTGGCCAATGACTTGATTCACCGCGTCGTCCCATCTGCGGTGACTGTGGGCGAGGAGACAGCCAGCAAACACCTGGGCGTTTGGAAGACTCCTGGGCAAACTAACTAAAGCTTGTTTGGACTTGGGCCAATGGTTGGAAGAATGGAGCGCCACAAGTCACCTAGGACATGCGTGATTCATGAAGCGATATCGGCGATATCAACAGCGGACTGTCTGGACTCTAGAAACAAATTGAGTTCAGGGCAAGTTGACGTCCGCTTGGGCAGCGTGATGACGGCCCAGTGTCCTCCACGCTGCGACTCAGATTATCCAGAATCCAGCCACCAGCTGTTCCCAATTGAGGAGGAAATTGAATAGGACATATGTATATAGCCAACTTGATGATGAACCCCTGTTTGTTGTATGTAGACGAAACACCTGCAGTCCCCTTCCATGTTTGAGTCAGAGTGTATTCTCCAGGATGTGAGTGGAATGCCAACCTTGTGCTTGCCTGTGGAATGGGGTGGATTCGGCCACCAGCTCAGTGTCGGTGAGGACATCATTTGGTCAGTTGGTCAATTGAGCGACTGAACATCAAAGGGACACATACCCAAAGAGAGTGTCAAGACTTGTGAGTACTGGTCCCCTCCAAGATCCTAACCACTTGATGATCGACCGCGAGAGCACAGAGGCTTTGACTACCGCTTGGCGATGGCCATTCCGGATATGTTCATCAAGCATCTCGATGCACCAACGGGCCTCGCAGGCTCAACTCCCGGTTTGGGCGGTTTTTGCCCCCAATGGCATCGGTCCAAAGAAGATGAGGTCCCACATCTTCAGCATGTTGAATCCTAAGGATTCGCTCTCGCACGTTCTCGTTTTGGGGAAAAAGACGCCGCCCAAAACGACGGAGGATCTTTGGTTGGGAATCTCAGACTCCCCAGCTTTGATCCAGATTTCTCGGCAGTTGTGCCACGGTGTGCCCAAACAGGGTCTCCTCACTCGGCTTCCTTCTTGGCCTCGGACTCCCCCTTGGGAAGTCGTCGCACGTTCCGGGAGACGCGGGACAAACGAATCCAGGAGTCCGATGCGGTTGGACCCATCCAGGGAGTCAAGTCACGGGCGACAGACTCCAAGCAACCTGCTGGATCGGAGTATGATATGGTGAGGATATGAACTCCAAACAACCTGGAGTTCATGGTGATCCAGATCGTGAGTAGATATCACTTCCATCTATGAACTTCAACCTGGATATACTGTAATTGAAAGCCCTGGAGGAATGGGCTAAGAAGACTCCTTTGTGGGGCAAGAAAGTCGACAGGCTTTCGGGGATGCTGAGCAGGTTTCTTGGTAAAGAGTAAAGCTTTAGTAAAGCATGTAAAGCAAGCTGTGCGTGTCGGAGATTTCGGCTTTGGCCCGACTCTCTTCTGGTTTGGTCACCAAGGTACCTGAAAGAGGCAGGAGTGCTGAACTGGACGGCGCTTGCATGGCGCATCGGCAGGAGTGCATATGGAACAGTTACGTCAGCATCCACTTCCAATGGCTTCCAGTATACCCCCCTCAGAACTCTTGGCTCAAATTCCCAAGTGTTTTTAGCCAGCCTATATAAACTAAACCAATTGAAAAAACATGAGCCAAGAGTCCTGAAGGGGATGTACTTCTTCCAGTTGAAGTCCAACAGTCCTGTCTTTTCCCAATCCGCAATGGAGTCCAACAATCCCTGGGCTGGGCTGTGATAAAATTAGTTGTTTTCCAGGTTTCCACTGTGCTTTTTTTGTGCCAGTGTTTGTGCTTATTGTTACAGACCAAGGGATCATCACAAGTGTTGGTTCTTAGCTGGAACTGACTTTTGGACCAACATCTACAAATTTGCTTGATTTGATGGAACCAGCATTGACTTGCATGAGAGTCTCCGTCAAACAAACATTCATGCACGGCGAGGGACGTGGACAGATTTCAAGATGATTTCGGCAACTTTTGGGACACGTACACTCCTGACTCGAAAGAAACACTTGTGATCCGTCATGATCCATATCTCCGCACATGTTCTGAAGGTCTGCCTCTATGCAGGTGTAGCCATCTACCAATTATTACCAGTTTGAGATTGTAGGACCGGTTTCTCCGAAAGCAGGTCGGTGTCCATTGCAACGAGGGCGGGTAGCCAGTAGGAGGGTGAGCCAGACGGTAAAGGGGAGCCGAGTCGCCATCAAAGCTCTGAGCAATAGCTTCTCAAGGCTTCAGAAACAGGAGATTTGGGGTTGTAACTGAATTGCTTGCAACTTCCTAAGCGGACTTCCGTTCTGTCTTCGATGCCGCACAAGCGGACTTCCGCAGTCGACGGATGATGGATGGGGCATGGGCCATTTGGTCCACACGCTCACCAACAGGAGATACATGGAGAAGGCGCGATTTCGTGTTTTTCAAGCTGAGGCCGTACAGAAGCAATAAAGTAACTAGCGCAAAGACATGCAAGTACAACATATTACGAAGCAATATGGAACGTAACGTATGCTTATACATATATATACATAATATATGGTAACCCCCCAAAAAGAAACCACCTTTTCATCAAATTTACTGGTATTTGCGGTGTTTTGGGCATATTTTGGGGTATAAACAAGTCTAATAAAAACAAGGCACTGTACAAGAACAAAACAACTGAAATAAGACACAAATATGTCCCCAATGACAACCAGCAACAAAATAGCAATCCAAAACAACCAAAAAATAAAACAACAAACCATCAAAAAAAACCACTTTGAGGAGAATGTTTGGCTCAGCCTCAAAAGATGCCTTTTTGGTGTTCATTGCGCTATTGTTTTGGTTTGAAATCCAAAAACCAAAAAATATATGCTTCTTTTTGTTCTTTGCATTGCTGGACACAGCGATTTACACTGTCTATAACGTCTACACCATTTACACCGTCTACACAGTTTACACCATCTGCATCGTCTACACCGTTTACACCGTCTGCACCGTTGAAGCCGTTACCGGCGTATCCGGTGTAAACAGCGTGGTCAGCGTAACCAGCGTAAACAGCGTAACCAGCGTAATCAGCGTAATCAGCGTAACCAGCGCAACCAGCACACCCAGCCACCGCCAGCGTACCAGCGTACAATCACTCGCGGACACGCTTTGCCACGTCGCTCGTTTTTTGAAGGCTTATGGTTGAAGAAGACTATCAAAGCAAAAACCAAGGCTTTTGTCTTTTGGTGTTTGATGACTTGCTTGCTATGAGTAAAAACCAAACATCAAATACTGAAAAAAACAAAAACACAGGCTTACTTTTTTGCAGTATTCTAGTACAGTACAATAAACCTTCAAAGCCAAAATGCACAAGTTACTCAACATTAAAACTCAGAAATTGAATTAACAGCAGAGTTAACTAGATTTGAGTTTGGATTCAATTAGAATTAGGTAATGTAGGACTTCAATTATCACTCAATTGACTGTTAATGTTGAGTAAATTCCATATATAGTTTAATGTAATTGGAACTCAATGCAAATGTCTTTCTATTTAATTCATACTTCTTTTCAACTTAATTTCTATGCAGTTTATGTTTAAACCCAATATAGTTATATTTTTTCCAATCTAATTTTGGCTTTTATGCAATTCTAATTTGCTTCTAGAGTACGTGTTGCTGTTTAAAATGAAAGCTTTGTATATAATTCCTGTGTTGCTTTCTTAAAGGTTGCTTTCTTAAAATCGCACCCCCAGCAACACCCTCTCTAGAATAAAGGTAGAATTAAGTAAGAATTCAATTTGCATTGAACTAGTTGCATTGAACTAGAATCGAATTAAATTAGACTAGAATTGAGCAACATCCAATTGGAAATCAAGATAGAAGTCAACTAGAATTGTAAAACAACTGAAATTGACTTGTATAAGATTTAAACTAGCTGAAACTAAAAATTAATTACAAATAAATTTGGAAATTTAGAAGTGTATCAAACATAGAAAATTGGAACGAACTTCGAGATAAACTAAAACCAGGTTGTGTTTTTTTTTGGGGCTAGCATATATAATATATGTTATGCAAAATTATATACATATCATGTAAATAGATAGAAATCCACTGTTGATCATTTGCCGCTGAAGTGAGCCGGACCGAGCTGTTGGGACCGGTTTCCCTCGCGTACAGGTGATCGCCTACGCGGAGTCCCACGATCAGGCGATCGTGGGCGACAAGACCTTGGCGTTCTGGCTCATGGACGCGGAGATGTGCCTCCGGGATGGACGGCTGTATTTTTGGTGCTGATGATCGGCGAAGGATGAATTGTCAAAGGCCGAAAAAAAGAAAACAGATAAGAAAGACGCATTGAAGCCGCAGGTTTTTGATGGAGTTTTTCCATGTGTTTCCAAGAGGTTTCTGCTATTTCTTTTCTGTTCCACTGGTGTGTGATTAGAGGGGCCTGCATGGGTAGAAGGTTCATTTGGGTAAGAAGCTGTGATTTGGAGGTACACTGGGATGAGTTGCTTCACCAGCCCGTTCCCTTCCATGTGCGTTGATCGTGGCCTGGCGTCTGGCACTCAAAGGTTTGTGACGACCTTGCGTGAGCTACTTGGGATGGTTGTGAACGAAGCATGCACATGGAGGATTCTTCAGGCGTTCGGCACAGCTGTAACGCAAAAATCTAAAAAACAAAAGCAAATGCTTAATGAGTACCATGCTTGGCGCACCTCCAATTTCAAATAACGTTCTAATTCGGACCGCGTAACGTTACAATCTCAGCAAAATTAACGCTACAATTTGGACTCCATAACGTTACAATCTCAGCAAAGTTAACGTTACAATTTGGACGGCATAAGGTGACAATATTGTTACAATTTGGACAGCATAAGATGACAATCTAGGCAAGGTAACGTTACAAAACACTCCTAAAGAGAACATGTTAGAGCAACACCCTAACCGATTTGTTCTGGAAAAGCCAACAACAACGGCGGCAGCAGCAGCAGCAGAAGCAGAACACTTCATATGGGGCTGAGTCAGTCCACCTGGAGCCCTGGTCCACCATTGAGCTTGATCTTACAGGTAGGTCAGCCAATGTCTCCTGGTTTTGATCTACACTACACTTCAGTCTTGATGTATCCAGAATCACCGCATGGGCCCAGGCTGCACAAGATGATCCGGCTCATCGTTTTGTCCTTGGGCGGCGAGGCTTGGACCAATCCATGGGCGGCGAGGCGTTCTGGTAGGTGAAGGGTGCAAAGTACTTCCCATTTCCTACTATCGGCATATCCTTCTTTGGTAGATATCAACAGTTTACATACAACTACGGTTTTCTAATTCCTTGTCTGGAATTCTTGCGATCGCAGGGATACTTGAACTTCATGGGCAACGAATTCGGCCATCCGGAGTGGATTGACTTCCCACGACCGGAGAACGGCTGGAGCCACCACCACTGCCGGCGTCGCGCGGGAGCCTGGTGACGGAGAGCGATCATCTGGGTGTCCTGGCCGGAGGTCCATAAGCAGTGTAGGGTAAAATGGTGGGATTGGGGGTGGGGATCATATGTGGGTGGAGTGCGGGGGTTGGAGTCAATCTTGCATATGTGAAGGGGTTGGAGTCCGTTGGAGTGTGAGATCACAAAATGTGGGTGGAGTAGTCCAAGAAGAGGACCTTAGATAGAGAATGATAGAGGTAGATGGAGGTAGACTTCTCAAGATGAGCGATCCACTCCAAAGCGGCTCCCCCTTCTAAAAGGAATATCTTAAAGAAAAGTGACATCCTACACCAGTACTGTAGGAGGGATACAGAATGCCTGTCATTACCTCTCCTACTTATTCCTGCTCTTCTTGGCAGATTTGATTTTATCTCATCCCCCACTTTCCTGGGCTGGGACTCGAGGCTTCTCCGCCATGACTCTGAGGCTGGGATTTACCAGAGGACGACTTGTTGCGCTACAAGTTCTTCCAAAATTTCGAGGAACTCATGCAGGCAACACCGAAGAACAACCCGCGGCACGAAAAGAGCATTGACCATGTGAACAACTTCAACAGCACAGACCCTTCCGACCATGTAGGGTTGCTGAGATATTTGTGCCAAAGATTTGGAGTGGCTGCAGTTTGGAGACAATGTTGACCCAATATTTTTTTTTGGGGCAGGGAAATCTAGCCATCCTACATCCTTCATGTGGGTGTTTTCTTTGTTCTTGGCCAGGCCTGTGAAAATCGCTTCCAATTTGTCAATGCCACCCACCAGTATGTCAGTAAGAAGGATGAGAACGACAAGGCGCGCGAGGGAATCGACGTTGCTGCGGTGCTGGCAACGCTGGAGTCCTGGAGAGACTTTTGTTGAATCTCAGGACGCATCTCGAGTTCCAGGATTTAGGTAGAAATTGATCACCTAATCCATGCTTTGCACTGTCAAATGATCATAGATTTTCTTTCATCGCTTTGAACAGCAAGCACGCTAGTCTGAGGCTTCCACCCTGTTCAGACTCTGCTTCGGTACCCGGTGCAGGTCATCATTTTCGAACGGGGCGATTTGGTCTTCGTCTCTCGGCGCAACGGACTGATGGGGAAGTCCAAGTGGCTGTGACGAGGTAGATCGTTTGGTACAAAGAATGGAGGTAGTCGGGGTGCCCCTGTCACATCCCCTCACTGGATGGGACTAAACACCACCCTTTGAACTTCCTCGTAAAACGTTTTTAAAGAGATAATGAAGAATGATGAAGATGGGTGTGCAGGAGGCGTGAGACGCCTCATTAAACTACATTGCTGCGGGTGACACATGGTGACACTAGATTCACAGGGCCATGCCTCTTACGATGAGGATGATCTCCGCCTGGCTTGCTCTGCCTCCCAGGCCTTCAACTTCCACCCCTGCAACAGCTACGAGGGATACCAGATCGGCACCCATTGTGTGCGGCGCCGAGGGAGGGGACGAGAGACGAGAAAGAGCGAAGAGAGCTGGGCGTGCGACCTGCAGAGATTCTGCATGTGCAAAATGAATCAACTATTATAGACAGATGCTCAGATACAACACGAGAGAGAAGGTAGGTAGGTAGGTAGGTAGGGTAGGTTAGGTCAGGTTAGGTTGGGTCAGGTCAGGTCCTGTCCGGTCAGGCCAGTAGGTCAGTAGGTAGGTAGGTACGTAAGTACGGAGGTAGATAGACAGATAGGCCCAGATAGGTCCTGATAGGTAGATAGATAGAGAGCAGAGACAGAGAGAGAGAGAGAGAGAGAGAGAGTCATGATCCACACATTGAGACACATCGAAAGTCAAGAATCGACTTCTGCGTGTTTTCGACTGGGTCCCGAGTCGAGGGTTTTGCCAGTCTTCCGCATGCGCGAAACCAGGAGGAGTCCATGCGCTGCATCCTGGACACCGACGAAGGCCGCTTCGGAGGTCATATGCGTTCAGGACCTCAGAGTGGAAGAAGTTGATCTGCTGGGTTCCAAACACGTCCGACAAGAACTCCAACTTGATCACGAAAGCTGTGAAGTACGGAGGATTTCGTTGCTTCAACTGATGTCCAGCGTGCAGAGGGGTTGATCATGGTTGATCATTCAGGGTGCACGTGCTGAGGTCTTGACTACGGCCATGGCAATCCCTTTTCTTCCATGGGTGGGATTGACCGTCGTCCACATTCTGTGAAGCCACTTGTTTCGATTTCAGAGTGCAGTCAGAGCGAGAGAGAGAGAGGAACAGACGGAGAGAGGAGGGTTGGAGAGGGAGATAGCAAGGTCATGCAAGTTCGAAAAGAGGTGAACGTGTCCGGTTTCAAGATTTTGTTTTCCAAGGCTCTACATGCCAGCTCGGACGGCACAAGTTCTTTGCAGGCGAGCTTTGTTGCGGCTTTTGGTCAAAGCATGTCAACGCAATTGTGCAGTCCTGCTTTTGCCGCAGGGAGAGCTTGCTTCAAGGAGGAGTGAAAATTCATGCCTGCCTCTCAGATTTGCCTTTAGTTTCTGTAATTATATATGAATGTATGTGTCTTGCTTGGCTTGTCAACGATTCATCATGATTCATCCTTCTCACAACAGGTCGAGGAAAGCTTTTTGTCACAGTATGAGATCAAGTCTGCCGATGGCTTGAAGCTGTCCTTGCTTGCGACCAAAGATGGGGTCGAAGAGATGATTGACTTCCCATTCGTGGATGGCTGCGTGCACCTCGCCGACAATTGGGATGCCACCTTCGATATCGTCACGGGCGAGGACATGATCCTGCCCTGCAAGTGCTCGAAAGACACCAAGTTCCGCGTCTTCTTCCCCGGCGAATACACCGTGGCGCACCTGGGCTACTTGCGGAACGGCCAGCCTGCCGAGGACGCCGACAAGCCACCGAAGCCAGTGGCCAAGGTGGCGACCAAGGGCTACGCGAAGCCCAAGGCGCAGACGGCGCCCATTTCGGCGGCGCCGAGCCCCGCGCCCGCGGTGGCCGCGGCTCCCGCGCCGGCCGTCGACGCCTCGCCGGTGGGATCGCCGGTGGCGGCGCCGGCACCGGGCACCGTGGAGGTGAAGGAAGAGGCGAAGCCGGAAGAAGCCGGGGTCGATGTGCGGGACATGACACGGTGCTATTCCGGGCTGCACTTCATGGATAGTGAGGCCTTAGATGCGGCCCTGAGGGAGACGCAAGGAGAGCAAGTCTCAGATTTGGAACAGACCAAGATGAGGATGGCGAACTTTCAAGAGAATTTGGCTGCTTGTGGAGGCGACTTGGCCCAGATCTCCGAGAGTTACCGGACTTTTGGCTTGCAGAAGAGTGGTGGAATGTGGACCTATTGTGAGTGGATGCCCTTTGCCAAGCAGGTCTTCTTGGTTGGAGACTTCAATGGATGGGATACGGCTGCTACTCCATTGGCCCAGGAGTCCCCAGATCTGCCAGACGTGTGGAGTGCCACCTTGCCATCCACCACCAAGCTCACCGTGGGCAGCAAGTACAAGCTCTACGTCGTTCCAGAGGTGCTGCACCGGGGCCGTGCTGCGGGTTGACCGGGGAGGTCTCTATGTTGCTCTACCCGGCTCTACCGGGCACAAAAAATGCAAACAGATCAAAAGGACACACATGGAAACACTACTCCTTGACGGTTTTTGCGAACCAAAGGTGGACATCATTTCCTAGGGATCACCACAACATACATGTTACATATCATACATATTATGGAACCTGATCGTACCATATCGTACCTGCTTCGAACTTGAATCATTATCAATCAAGCCCCGGGGTTCATGTTCAGTGTTTGATTCGATATGACTCCTATAACAGGGTGGCCCCCTGTTGAAGGTAGATGACTACCAGGTAGTACCAAGACTACTTATTCTGTTTTTGGGTGGGTGTTCCCACCCTTTTTTGTTGTGTTAGGCGGTGCACAGGCGGCCACTTCCCCCTGCGCTGTCGCGCACTGCGCTGTCGCGCACTGGGCCAGGAGGGTGATGCCTACTACGCCATGCCGGCATGGGCCACACGCTTCGTGGGGCCCAACGAAATGAAGCGCGGGTGCCCGGTATGATTCAGAGTACATGCTCCGGTGCCCGGCTTCGAGTCCTTTCTCCGTCACGAAAACGTCGGACTTCCGACTCGGCCCGCCCTATCGACGTGGAACGACAGCTTCGGGGGGGTAAGAACCCGAAGCTGTGCTGTGGAACTCGATCTTTTTCTCCCGGAAGCCGTTCGAGAGAACCTGGAGGGTGACGCAACGGACGCGGGGTGCTGCCAGGCTCTTGGACGCGGTGGTGCACGTGGTGGACGGTAGCGGCCCCGGACGATTGGAGGTGACCAACGAGATGCAGCAAGGCGCTGTGCGTGGCGTTCACGCCGGAAGGGGGTCCGGGGGAGGGCAGACACAGGACTCACGAATTGGCTTTTTTTTTAAGACAGGAATTGTTTGTGTAAACTAAGACAGTGATTCCCACGGTTGATCAACTTGATCCGATCCACATGGCGACTATGTTGTATCGTGATCAGGAATGGCTATCGACCTTGGCGAAGGCCATGCAGGCAACCTCCACATGTGCAGCACTTTCATCACAGGTAAAACCAACCAGAGGTACCCTGTGAGCCCAACCTTTGAACCTTTGAACTACTTTGAACCTTTTGGCATCTGATCCTTTTGCTGATCCTTCAGGCTAAGGAAGGATGATAGTTTTGCATTTCATTCTTCCACCTCTGCGGGGGTGGTGGAAGCCGGCGAAGAAACGTCACCGACTTCATGTGGTTCTCAGGGCGTTTGGGTAGTACCCTATGTTTGAGCCAACGCTGCGTTACATTGACATCATTGACATGAGTTCGTTGATGAGAAAACGGTCCATCGTCCGTTCTATCAGCTGGCCAGTGCTTGGAAGAAGGGGAACGGCTGCCGCTCTTGCAATGATGTTCTTATCTCGATGCAAGAGATACTAACAGATCACTGCAGACCTGTCATGCGTCTCTCCACCTGCAGGTGGTATTCGAATCTATGAGTGTCATCCTGGGCTAGTCAGCAAGGCTAGTACCACTTCGCCTTTGGTGGAGCTGGGGGCCCCGTGCATGCCCGTACAGTCCTTCGATGCCGGCGGTGGTTCCAGCATGGTCAGAAAAACAACATCCCAGGGACTCAGGAGCTACGTTCGTAGCTTCTTGCTATACTAGTAGCGATGCCTCGTTACTAGTAGCGATGCCCCTGCTACTAGTAGCGTCCTTGCTACTAGTAGTGATGCCAGGAGCTACTAGCTGCTAGGTTCTTGTTCCTAGTCTTGGAGAACACCATACTTGGAATGGGCTCCTTGTGTAAGAGCTGAATATGTTCCCAGAATGGTGGGACATATCAGCCACGTATTAATCGTATGCCACTCATATGATCAGGTGCAGTCCATTCTTCGCATCAGCCGGTTATTGTACAATATTGACAATATCGTGCAAATCAGTACAAATCATAATCATTCTGAATAGAATATCGGACATGATCAGGTCAATTCCATTTCGTGGGACACAATGGTACCAAGATGTACCAAGAATGTATCAGCATGTCCCTGCAACGATGCTACTGGATGATTCGGAAACACCCCACTTCGAGTGGCTGAAACAGATCATTGAGGTTCAAAGTTCTCCACAAAACCAACCTGGAACATGCGCAGGAACATGAACTTATAGCAATACTTAGCAGCTGTTTTGGAGCAATTTCCCGTTCGAACGCACCTCCCTTTGTTTGGTCCACCGTTTCGCTGCACCTGCTGTCGCGGGCCCAGGACCTTGGACCTGCTGCCGCGCATCGCGCGCAACGGCCCGGGGGGGGGGGGGGCACGAGTTGGGGACGGGGGGGATGCAAGAACCACGGGTCATACCAACAAATTGGCTGGATTTCAAGGCTCCGAGGTCTATCAACCACCCTGGCCGGGTTCCTTTGTGAGGCTACAATGCCCTGCAGCTGGTGGGTCTTTTGGAATGCAAGGCGCACCGGGGGCAGTGCCGGAGCTCACGAGTCGCTCATGCGTAGGTAGCTCGGACCCGGCACGGAAGCACCGGGGAAGTTGGTGGATTCGTTGCAAGATCGATCCAAGAGCATCCATGGGAGGTCTTCGAAGGTCTGGTCCTTTGCATCGTTCACGATGAAGTGATGAATGGATCATTTGGAGGAATGCTCTGAACGTTCTGAATTCAGTGGACGTTCGAACGGAACAGCTGGCTATCATAAATGATTGCTTTTCGAAGGCTTGACTGAACGATCGGAAGGATTTGTTGGGGGTCTAAGGTGCTGGTGATCACTCAAATTGGTAGACCATGCCAGTGGTAGTGGCAGTGGTCCTGAAGTCCCGCCAGTAAGAAGGCGCATCATTTACCCTCAAGCAGTCAGCCAGTTGAAGGTTTGAAGTGAAGCTATTGGTGTTCGCAAGCCTTTCGATCTGTGGCCTAGCATTCGACCAGAGGATGAATTTTGAGGATGTGTGTTGTGTCCTTCACACCTTTCCAGGAACACGAAGCAACATACCTTTTCAGAGGAACGTTGTTTGCCAAGGCCTTCATTGCTCTTCTCCACATTAATTAAATCCGATCCCTGCCTGTTTTCAACTGATGTCCCACCCACACGGGGGAAAAAGAGAACTGACAATAACATACAATAACAAAATATACAGATACTACAGATTCCCCTCCAAAGGAAAACGTCCCAACTCCCCGGTTTTCATGGTGATCTCGGAGTCCAGACCACAGGAGCCTGCCACCCTGGGCAGCCAACCTGTGAGCCTCTTCGCACTGTCCCAACATCTGGGCACCACGGAGGAGTCACACCGGGGGGCCTCGCGCGTGGGATCCGCGTGTCGGTCACCGTCACCGCGGGTCCGACACCTCGGCGATGGAGTGGAGCGGAACCTGAAGCTGTTCCGCCCTGAAGCTTCCTTCCATCCTCAAGCCCGAACCTGAAGCTCTTGAACCTTCAAAAGCCTTCGGTCGAAAGCCCGGTCGACCGAAGAAGAAGCGGAGAAAGAAGAAATATGGAACTCGTGAGGATGATGCGGGAGGATGATGGGTGAACCATGGTGAACCATGGTGAACCACGAAGTCCATTATGTCCTCCCCTCCAGAAGTGGCCTTTGTCCAGTCCCGAATAGTTTGGGACCCAAGTTGACTTGGACTTCGACGAAGCGGTTTTCCTGGGGGGTGCACTCGGTGTTTTCCACCAAGACCGGAACAAATCGACCCCAAAAAGCTTCGCCGAGTTCCAAGCACGTCAACCTTTCACCAGGGAGGTTCACCTTAAACTGTACACCTTCCTTTGCTGACACCCGCAACGCTGGGGGTCCTCGCATGTCCTCGGGGGTCGACTGTCCGCAACCGGCAGGAGTTGCGGAACCTGGTGCTGCAGGCGCATCGCTTAGGGCTGCAGGTCTACATGGATCTCCCCCACAATGGCGCCGCCTCCGCGGAGGCGAGTCACGGCGCGGCGCGGCGCGCACCGGATCCCTTCACGGCGATCGGTCACGGCGGTGTGTGATGTCAGTGTGATGCACCCACCTGGTGTGCTGTTCAGTTGAAAGGTGGGGTGATCTGGGAATCAGAGCTTTTGCATGTTTTCTTTTTTTGTGGGGGGTTGCACGGATTTTTGTGGCATTGATCATTGTCAGGACTGCGAATGGTTGTTGGAGCTATTGTTTAAGCAAACACATCACTGAAAGGAACATGAAGGAACATTACGTGTTCACGAAGTAAGTGTCTAAGTTCTCACATGTTCTCACCAAAGGGGTGATCAGCACCTGGTTACTCAACGCCATCACATGCACGCATGGTGTTTGCATGTGTTTACAACGACCGATCAAAGCCACGTTCGAACCACTGGGTGTTTCGAAGTCGTTTGGACTTCCACCATGGTGTGAAGGTGTTTACTCCCGGGGGCCGGGAGTCGTTTCGCCACCAAATGCATCTCTTAGTTACGCGACGACTTCAGGACGGGCTTGCAGGGCAATTCTTCTTGTGGGGAGAGCTCCTTGGCAGCGAAGGCACACTTCACCAGATCCATGTTTACCCGACATCAGATGTCAGCAGCATGTTTGCAGCGACTGATATCAACTGGTTTGGTTTTTGGAGCGGAGGCGTTGATCTTCAGGATCCAAGCAGCTCCAAGGTATGTCATTCCCTGTTAGGAGCGCCCCGAAAACTATAGGGTCACTTCGGCCGGTCAGATCCCCAACCAGTCTGAAACACACTTGCCGACTCTCCTCGATCGGGCGGTGTCGACTCCATCGTTGAAAAAAATGGGCATATCCTATGACACACCCAAGAATTCACTTGCTGAATTGTTTGAGACACCAAGATATCCTCAGAGGTCTTTGGGTCCCTGCCTCGTTGGGCCGAGGCAGGGCTTCCATCCCATCACCGGCGCGCGGATGTACAACTACACCGAGCACGAGGTGTGAGTCATGCCCAGGAGAGCACATGTTCGAACACAGTTAATTTTCCAGTGTGTTCATGGCGGGAACTTACACATCTTACACCAGAAACACCTTCTGGATCCTGCTGGTGGGTTTTCATGACATGGAGAACCACCCATCCACGCAACGTCGGCCACGTGTGGCGCGGGTTCGGAACCACCGTGGCGCGGGGGACGTCGCAATTGGAGGTTCTTGGGGACATTGCCGGCGGAGCAAGTCATGTTCAAAGCATTTCAAGGCTTTTAAAGCATAGTGGTCCATCTCTCGACGTCACTCTGTCTCTTCTCACCTTCCTGTACAGGTGACCCGATACCTCCTTGCCAGCATTGCCTTCTGGATGAACCAATTTGGCATTGATGGCTTCAGGCCGGGTGGTGTGATATGGTTGGTGTGGCCGGTGGGTTTGCTCAGGATGGCCATCGGCAAAAAAGATAGCTGGCAGTACTGGACCTGAGGGTCTGGTGTTTTGCTGCATGACTTCCGAGCACGAAGTCTACAGTTTTCCCCCCGAGGGTCATGATAACCCGAAGCTGCAACGATCATCATCAAGAATTAAGAATTGATTTAAATTTGTGTGATTTGATGTTGACGGGTAGATGCCAGGCTGTGCCAGGTGAAATCTCGATCGGCAAGTGGGGTCCTCCTTTGAGCAAATGGCAGAGAATGGCCTCAGACTCACCAGAAGCACATTGTTCTTGTCGCATAGCAGTTTAATGCTTGTTTAAGTACACCGGGGTGGCTTCTTGCGGATTCTTTACATCATAGTTCACAGGGGATTTTGACGCCACAGAAAGAACCGGCAGAGGTGTATTTAAATGTTTTGAATCAAAACCGCAAAACCACGAAGTGCCACGGGTGATCTCTCAAGCCTCAAGCGTATCTTCATTCACTGTTCGTTCATCGATTTCATTCTTTGTGGTCACTATTTCCCCTGGGTGCCATGGGGTGTCCATCCAGTTCCCTCGAAAAAACCCTTACTTGCCGGAGTCTTTCGGTGTCCACATCTCTTCAGACACATGCCTTTACTTGTGCTTAATTACGTAGGGAATGAGGGAATGGATCCTAAGGAATCTGTAGTGGGGGATCATTTCCTCATTCCCTACTAAGCACCAGTCAGACGCAGTGAAATCATTCCGGAGGTTCATCGATATCGCCTCCATGATCTACCTGGACTGCGGCAGGCGATGCGCCGTCCTACAACTGACAGCTGGGGAGCTTCGTCACAGTTCTTTAAGAAGGTCAAAGACAAAGATGTGTATACAATATTATTTATTATAGCTAAACAAACATGTGATTGTGATGTGTTTTTCACGAAAGCTAGCGAAGCTAGCTGGAGTTACTCTTGCGATAGCAAGGTTTCTTTCGACCGGGTGCAAATCCTAACCCCTGATTTTTCAGGTCGAAGACCCCCCCCCCTCTCCCCACCTCCCCTCTCCCCACCTCCCCTCTCCCCACCTCCCCTCTCCCCACCTCCCCCCCTCTCCTCCTCCTTGTCTTCCTCCCATCTTCCCTCCCTCCCTCCTCCCTCTTCGCAAGTTCGACTCCGTCCTGTCGTCGCTCTTTGGCATGCGGTTAGCGTTGCGTATCTTGCGGCCGCACTCGCTCACTCTCACTCTCACTCTCTCACTGTCTCACTGTCTCTCTCATCTCTCTCATCTCTCTCATCTCTTTCTCATCTCTCTCATCTCTCTCTCCTCTCTCTCTCTCTCTCCTCTCTGTCTCTCGTCTTTCCGTCTCTCTTCTCTCTCTTCTCTCGCAGGAGGATCCGGGCAAAGAGCCACATATAAAGGACTCTTCACCCCTGCCTCCAAAAAGAGCGCCGTGTTTTTTCCTACCTCGCTGCCCTCCACTTTCCCATTCTGGAGCGCTAGCTTTCGCCCCCCCCTTGGCCTCAAGTCTTTAAAAAGATAAGGTGGGAGAAACGTTCAACATGTCACGTCATGTCCCCCCCAAAAATAATTTGTTGGTTCCAAGATGCGTTGTTGACGAATCTGTCCGCACGTATTGCGTGCATCGTCCCCAGTCTTTCGCTGGAGATGTAACCATTGTAACCCTACGGCCTCCCCATCGTCTCCCGAGGGAGTGATCCGCTTGTTCCCGTGCGGAAGGGCCATGGTTCCACTGTAATTCACTTTTGAATCGAAGGCGGATGCCGTTTGAGTGTGATTGGCGGAAGTTCCATGTCTTCTGCGGTGAACTGGGGTTTCTTCTCGACCGAAAGCAAAGCCGCTTCTTTCTTTTTTCCGGCCGAGAAGACTCGACCAACCGTTTTTTTTCGAGGTGGGTGCCGGAGCCTTCCGAGTTGGAAGAATACTTGGAGAATGACGAAAACACCGAGAAGGCGGATGCCGCTGGCCCCGCACCTGTGGTCCGGTCACCGGGGCACCGGGCACTGGTCTTTGCTTCTTTGCAGCAAAGACCCGAGGCCCACAACAAGAGGTGATCAAAGAGGACATCGGGGAAACCCCAAACCTTTTCGTGTGCGGTGGACGAGACAGGCCAAGGTGTCAAGAGGACAAGAGATGCTCGCTCGCACACAGCTGAAGGCTGAAGGTGTTTGTGACAAGTTTTGTATCATCGTACGTCTATTTTTCCAACTCGTCCAATTGAAACAGGTCAAGGTCAATGCCCCAAACGTCCAAAACTCCCTGGGTTCAGAAACCATTGGAGAAACACACCCAATATACGCCACTCCTATGATCGGATGGTTTTGGTTTCGCACCGGTTTGAGCCACGACAGGCTGGCATCCAATACCTCATGCAAGTGAATGCGCTCATTCACCAGTTGGAACCCAATGCCAAGACCATCGCAGAGGACGCGTTCGTTCGTCGACAGGGGGAGAGTGGAGCCCTTCTTTGCGCACAGAGTAGATCGGCAAAATGAAGTGTTTAGAACTCAGGAGTTCCCGGTAGGTTTTGCTTGAATTTGTGGGCCAATGGCTGTAATTGCCATGCACCATGAAACATCATAATAACAGTCGTATACAGACTGATGGGTGTAACATTCCTGTCCGACTTTCTGGGGGCCCAAGGGGCCCTGCATGGCACGGGTCGGACCCGACACAGAGGTGATTCCGGACCCAACACGGCCACCCTTCCCCTTAAGGGGTATTCAGACACCCGCAGACCGGAGTGGAACACCTGCAGACCGGAGTCCGTCCGCAGGACCGGACCATGTACCCGCACCTGTGCGAAGCGGTCGAAGATGGCGGATTGGGCTTCGACCTGCGACAGGCGGAACCGGAGCATCCGAGGGGTCGAACCGGAGCGATCCCACTGCCCCTGCAGGTCAGGAAGTGACACCATCTTACAGGAGTTGATTCATACAAAACACTAGCCACTAAATAGGAGGTTTTCAGGACCAGGTGTTTTGCCTGGGCCAGACTGGACCCTGCGATGAGAGGATTCGAAGCACCATTGAATTAACATGATTTAACATGATTTAACTTGTTTTTATGGTCTTTACCGAGCAACCATTGTTTTACGATTTTAGACAGGGGATACCTTAGGTTATTAATCCAGGGATACTGGGATACCCGCCAGTTGCTGGATTAGTTTCTGCATGTGGATTATCATGCATGATATAATTATCCTGCTATGTGCTGAAGCATCTTGGGGGGAACATGGAGATGATCTTGTGGTTTAGTTTCAAGGTGTATGTTCAATGGGTTGTTTTGTTTGAGAGATCTTGAGGTATCTTGATTGTCTCAGTCTCGCAGACCAGCGCGGCTCTTGACATGAGAAGCAAGCAAAAAACCCAGAACATATATACATGCACATGAACAATGGATGTCGCATTAATGATTAGAGATTCCTCAGGAACTAGTAACTAGTCCATCAATCCAGGATGTCAGCCACGTGCCTGGACCAATTTCTCAAAACTAGTGGATACCTGTGAGGATACCCCCTCCGGAGTCTCTTGCAGCCAGGCCTCCAATGCGCCCGATTTGTTCCGAGAGCTGGTGCTGGGAGGCGTGGTTTGGGCGAAGTAAGTAGACTCAGTAGACCGACCCAAATCCACCTTGGTCAAGCACATGTCAAGCACCTTACTCTGGGTGTAGCTGTTGAAAGGAAAGATAGCCACCGCTGTGCCTTTTGCCAGGGCGAGATGAAGAGTGGAGCATGAAGAAGATCGTGGACTACATGTCTGAGGCAAAAAGCAATGAAGAGAAGTCAATGTTGGTTGCTGGCTCCTGTAAATTCCTTGTGTTTCGCCTCTGCTATTATCTCTCTCCATGTTCTTCACCTAGATTCTTCACCGAAGAACCCTTGGAGGTGAAGCAGTATCGACCCACTGATAAGATCTTGGGCTCCTTCGAGTCTGCTGAGCACTGCGTTTGGAAGCTCAGAGTCCGCTCTGAGGGTGGCCCCTCCGGACCTACCGGAGCCTTGAACCTCCGGACCTAGGCGACCCACTTCTCTAAAGAGCTGCGAACCCAAGCCCTGCATGGGGAGGATCCAGCCAGCTGCGAGGGCCTCCGCGGCGGGGAGGCGAAACAACGCCCTGCCCAAAAAACGGACATGCATCAACTCCCTCTCCACGGGTCTCCAAACTGACGTTTCCACCCGCCAAACGCCAAACTGACGTGCTGCGCTTCACCGCTGTTCGTCGGGGGGGCGACGGTTTTCGCTGAGATCCTGGGACGTCGACCTTTGAAGATCGCGATGCTGTCGCACGGGGGCCCTCGCGCAGGGGTGGAGTTCGTTCGTCGCGGCGGTTGTGGAGTCGCCTCTGGGTCCTCGCGCAGAGGGACACCACGGTGACACTGTGCCAAAGTTCAAATGTGAGTTGAAAGAGGAAACGGTTGGGGTGAAACGGTGAACCTTATAATATATATATAATTATATATATATATATATCGTATATATATATATATATACACGTGCGGTGTTATGTTACATAATTTTTTTAAAGCCAAGCCTCACAGGATTGTCGTGCCCAACCAAAGTGTATGAAAGAACTCCTGCCGGCCACTGGAAGCTGGATGCCTCATATTGGATCTCAGCCGGATATGATCATGATGTGAAATGCAACCTTTGCCGCAAGCAGATTCCACCTGAAGATCCAACAAAAACCTGAGAATCCCAGACGTACCGCATCGGATCTTGTGGACGTCCCGCGCTCGGCCCTCTTAAGGCCGAGCAGTCGAAGCACCATTGATTTAATGGTCTGAATCATTAGTCCAAACAACCAGCTGTTGTACTAAGGGTTTTACAAGAACCAGATCAACCATTTTAAACAGGGTCTTTGACTTCCAGGGTACAAAAAGGGACCCGGCCCCCCAGAAACCATGTTTATTTTCTTCGATATATTATAGCTTGTGGATATCTTAAGTGTGCCAATCTTTGACCTTCTGCACGGGTGTTTCCTGCGTTTTTCCTCCGATCTTCCCTAGGTGGGAGACCCTTCACACCATTGCCGCGGGTGGCGTCGCCCCGCATGTCCGGCATCCGAGTGGGCGGGTTCTTCAGCAGAGAGAACTGGTTCCACCTGGTTCAACGGCTTCGTGTCAGAGGGCCCTTTTCGAAGAGAAGGGTCTCTTTTCTCAGGGCACCCTATTTTTGAGGCCACCTCATCTATATCATGGGTCTTCATGTACGTGCTCATCCGGGATTTTGTAGCGATTTTTGGGTTGCCCTTCAGAATGAGGGGTCGAAGATGGTGAACGATGAATGCCATTGAACCCATGCGGATTGATTCCTAAGTTGGTGCCTCAAGAGCTTGTAACTTGGGACCTTATCAGCCAGTGATCAATATAGAATTCATCAATGAGGGTTCATCACTATCTTATTCCAGGCTCCTGCTATCATAGTGGGCTGAGAATTCTCAGCATTTCTCAGCTATTGGATCTATTTGGTCTTCTTATCACTCTCAGTCACTCTCCACCCTTCACCTGGTCTGTTTCACTGCCTGAGCCCTTCCGAGATGCTCCTCCGCCGAGGTGACTGAGCTGGCCGGCGCCTTGCACAAGATCGGCTCGGACACCCGGGCGTCTTCCGGGCGGAGTCCGGGCGGATCCCGTCGCGGCCCGCGGCCCGCGGCGCGGGGTTGGTGTCGTGGTGATGCGGTACGTGGTGGGACCAGCAAGCTGCAACCTCACAAATCAGCCCGTTTGAGGATCAAAGGATCCCGTTTTTGGGGCCGACCTCAGGGGACGGGTTTTTTTCGCGGTTCTTCTCACGCCGCCGCCCTTTTGTTCTCTCTCCGATGGTGTTTTCAACGCTCGAGGTCACACCGTGCACATCTTCACGCGCTCCACACAGAGCCGTACCTGGGAGAATGAGATCTTGGGTGTGATCTACCACGAGGTGGGAGAGAGAAAGGGAGAGAGAGATCATAGACGATGACAGGAGGACGACCACAAGGCTAGGGCGGTATACCTATATTGTTTGAGTGGTTGCCGAAGGTTGTCGATATCAAAGCCAACTTCAGGAGACTGATTCAATCTTTATCACATCTTAGAAATTCATTTAAAAATAGTTCCAGTGGGTCAGAATGTGGCTGCCATCAATCTCTTGGCCCTGCCATGGGTCTCAAGAGACCTTGGCGGAACTAGCTTCAAACCTTGCCCTGACCTTCATGCTTCTGAAGGCCCCCGAAGTGAGCTGGTCATGGTCATGTGAGGTCCCAGATTACAGATGGTGAGCTGGTCATGTTTGTGTGGAGGGAGACCTAGCTCCGGATTGGGTGTTTGACCGGATCCTGTCAGAAAGCACCAGAAAATCCATTTGAAACCCGAATTATCCAGAATCTCTTGAGGTACTGAGGTCAGTGAGCCAAAGTTGGATGTTACAGAACTTGTCAGTCTCAAATGACATGTGTTTTTTTCTTCGCCCTCACTGGTCCTGAAGCCGCAAGAACTGCACCGACAGACGGTCCGAGAACTAGGTGAACTTCGGCACCGACAGCGACTTCGTGAGGGAGATCGAGAACATGTGCAGCTCCTTCGTGCGGGTCCGTCAGGAATGCAGGGGACGAGTCATACATGTCATACACCCCCGAAAACTAACATAGACCCGGGTCCAATGGCCCCCTGGAAGAGTGTTTTCCTCTACCAACCAGTGGTTTTCAGGGTCCATGTTAGTCTTCCAGGGTGTACATTGCATCCATATGTTTAGGGGTATGGCATCCATATGTCAGGGGTATGTCATATGATAATGACATGTAGGCTATGTGCAGGCCGGGGTATGTGCACAGGTTTCGCACAGATTCCGATTGACTCATGGAGGATTTTTCTTTAATCGATTCATAGTTCCGCTGTGCTGTAGACTAGTAGATGTCATACAACTGACAATAACTGACATATGAATCACAGAATTCTGTACAAAGATGTACAAAGATTCAGCTCAATTTCAGAATTTCGGCTTACTTTGCTGAGTCTCAGTCCATTTGATTCTTCTTTCGAACCGCACTTCATGCCCAAGAAGACCGCCATTGGCGTCGTCTTGAATTCGATTTATACGTCTCCAGTCCTCGAGCGGCTAAGCGCCCACAGACCACGCCGGGTCCAGCGACCCACAGATCATGGGTCCATAATGAACAGACCGCCGTTCGACGCGACGCGCGCCTCGGGATGGAGATCTGACCAATGCCAATACCCCGTTGCATCATCCAATGCATCTGTACGATGATTTCTTTCAAGCCGGGGTTCCACCGCAACCAACGCCTGAAAACGTGGAGTCCTTAAGTCCTTCCTAGGTTGGGCACTACCTTCATGTGGAGGGCCGTGTAGGCGCCCGCTTTTTTCCTCCGGAATGGGGGGGTGACTCCTTCGAGGACCGGACGGGTGAAAACGTTCCTGCGTTCCGATGAGTTCAGGTCTTGAAGAAACGCTCAGCATCCTCAAGATGCTGTACACCACACAACGTGACTGTAGGAGTTCCCTTTTACCACCCATACCAATCAGACGAATCAGAGACGTTTAATCACTTTTTAGATCTGTTAAAGCAGCACTGCAAATAAGATATCATCAGACCAATCAGACATGCTCAATATCTTCTATTCCCTTCTTGGATCGGCTACAAGCAAGGCATGTCTTGATCACAGATGCCTCATGAGTGAACCACCCGAACCACCTGGGTGCAGGTGGCTTCGACGTGATCCACGGCCATGACTGGCTCGTGGGTCCTGCGGTGATTCAGCTGGCCTCCATGAACAAACGAGTGCCTTTGGCGAAGGAAGTGAAGCCAAGCCAAGACCCCCTTTTGTAGAGGAAGACAGGGGAAGCAGTGCAGAGTACCCTGGGTGATGAGATGACGAGACCTTTCTTGGAATGGTGTCTTTGGGGGTTCAGCATGCTTGCGGAACATTGGAGGTTCATGTGTGCTAAGAACCCCTCGGAGCGGAGCGGATTGTCGGGCCCTATCGGGGCCGGAACAGTCACACGGAACCATGAGGGTTTCTAGGGCGTTTCCTGGCGGAAGATGCAGTAGAGGAACCGGGCCTGGCATGGACCTGATGGCGGAAGCGAAGGAAGGGGACCGTTTCCGCTTCCTCCACAAAGGAAGCGAAGGAAGGCCGCCCCCCCGTTCGACGACGATCCTTGACGTGAGAGCGGCTGTCTGGTTGTGCCCTCCCTGTTTCGGGACCCCCACCGAAAGTCTCACGTGACGGTGGGAGTTGGAGTGGGCCAATGTGAAACTGCTGGAGGGTGAGTTGAAAAGACTCATCATTTCGTGATAAAGCAAGCATGTTCACTCTGACAGCTCTGTTGGAATGGACACTTCACTGGATGTTCCATGTTCAGACTTCACTGGAAAACCTTCAAAAAGATCTGGATCTTTAACAACAATATAGCCACTTGGAGACCAGATGGATCAGCTTCACGCCGAGGTGGTCTTCACCATGCACTCCACCGAGACGGGCCGGTGTGGCAACGTGCAGTACGGGGGGCAGAGTGCCCGCATTCGAGGCTTGGCATGAGGGACGCTTCCGGCAGAAAAGCGGCCCATCCATCCATCCATCCATCCATCCAACCAACCAACCATCCAAATCCATCCAAATCCATCCACCAATCCACTCATTTCATTTCATCGACCAAATTATCCACCATTTCCACCAAATCGTCCAAATTGACCAGTCGGGCAAATGATCTACTTAAATCTACTTCTGCGCAAGATCCGCTTTGGATCTTCTGGACTTGAACCGTTTGGATTGGCGGATGGGCGGATGGGTGGTCACCCGAAAGTTCCCCTTCGGATCTCAAAAAACACGAATCCGCGGGTGTCCAAACCGCACTCCTGAACCGCCTGCTTCCACCCACACAGTCCTTTCGTGATATGTTACATGGGGCCCCTGGGGGTTGGTTGTTGTTGTCCGGCCGGGGGCGATGTGTGAACACATCAGACCCGGAATCCGGGGTTGGTCGGAGCTTAAGCCACCGACCTACTTGTGACCTGCACCGACATGCTACGCTCCGGAGGTCCCAAAGGTCGACCTTTGAGCTAGTTCTCTTGTACCTCCTTGGAATGAGGTGAAACTGCTTTTATAAGCTTTTGTGATGCATCAAATGATGCGTCCACCTGGATTGAGGAACTCGGAAAGTCAGTTGATGTCTCGAAAGTACTATTTCTAGCTCAAACCTCAACATCTTTAGCCAGTGCTGGGAGTGTATTTATACGTGCGGATGCTGGATGCAGTGCTCTTGAACAAGAACATGTTGCTGTTATTTCACTGTGCCAACATTGTGCCAATTTTCATGACACACACAATGACACACGTACAGACCAGCACCTTCAAAGGGGTCACCAATGGAAGCCGCTACACCACTTAAGGATCTCCATTGGACACCCCTTACAAGGTCCAGGTATGAATATGCATGGCTTTATTATGCTTTATGCTCTTTTTAAGAGAAACCACGTTCAAGAGAAGGAGTCCGCCCTTCAAGCACGATGACTTTAATCATTGGAACCTCTACACCAATCGGTTTCAGCCGCTCGGACGGCCGAGGATCAATTGAAGGCCACGCCTGCCATGCGGCCGAGCGGGTGATTGCAGTGTCTGGTGTGTTGAAGGAGGAGGCAGGATCGTTGAAACTTGGGAGCTGACACATGTTTTAGAACAGCATTAAATCAATGAGGGTGGATGTCCAACCAATGTTATCCCTTTTTTTCTCGCTGTTTCTCTCTTTCGTGCGTGTGAACGGATGCGTCAACCGCCGCCCAGCTACTAGACCTGGATCCAGGTCTCTTTTCGGAACCAGTGGCTCCAAAGACTTATACCGGAGACATAGAAACCCTGGTTCATTAATGTATAGCCTATATAGTAAACTGGGATCCACAGGGTTCTTGAAGCGATGAACTCTGTACTCCAACTTCTGCCCCTGTTCCCTCCCTGCGCTGGGCAGGTTTGCTCCCACTATCAAGTAGACGGAAGAAAGGTCGAGGTGATCTACAATGGCCGGGGTGCGCAGATCTCCCTATCTCGCTGATTCTTGCTGTTTGTATTCTACGAGTGAAGAGGGAGTGAGGAAGGCCTCTGAAAGGCGAGATCAACGGATCAACCGACATGAGAAGCCCTCCAAAAGTCATCGAACAGATGCTTCGTTTTGTTTTTGTGTTTGCCTTCAGATTATTCTTTCAGATATCCTTGAAACAAGCTTTTGTAGCACACGACACTTGAACACAGGGCCGGTCTCATCGTCGTCCACTGTTACAAGGAATAGGACACACCCAACGTATGTCACCATCACCCATCATCACCCCCGAAAAAAGGAACAGGGCGACCCAACAACTCGTCCGACCCTTTTTTTTCCGTTGAGCAGACTCACCGTGGCGGCCGGTTTCTGCCACAGATGGGTCCTTCGTTGGTCCGAGGCATTCACGCAGATGCGATCGCCAAGATGGAGTGGGAAGACGAGTGGACCGGCAACACCAAGCGGGACAAGGCGCCGGAACCGGTGAGGGTCGAGGAGTGGGGCAGGTGCGGTTAGGAAATGAACCAAGCAGGCAGATGGAGGGGATCTCAGAGGTAGCAGGCGGTAGGAGGTGGCAGATTCTTCTTCCTGGCCAGTCGCATTGCTTAGTGTGCTTAGCATTACATTGGTTTCGGAGTAGATGGCACAATCCCCAAAAGATGGTTTACATGGAGCCCCATCTAAAAGACAAAAAGGCCGTTTGTGCTATCTACTCTGAAACCACTGTAGGTCCCACTGTAGGTGTATCGAACTCGGGGGCTCGGCCAAGAACGACGCCTGTTTGAACTCCCTCAAAGCATGTGTGCAAAGCTGCCTTTCCAGAGCCCTGCAATGATTTGTCAAACTCGACTCTCCGCTTCATCCGACAACTCTTCTCACCCGCTTGACCAAGCTTGACCAAGCGCAGACCTCCATGGGATTTCGTGGTCAAACCTCTCACGTCATCGGCCTGCTCCTCCTGTGGGCCCCGTTGAACCAACGGGTCGGAACCCGAGAGAGTGAAGCACCGGACCGAACGGAGGCCAGCGAGGAGTGGCAACGCGGCTTGCTGTGTGTCTGCGTAAGATCATGGTGATATGGTCATCAATGGCGTATAGATGTATATAGTCTCTGGGCCAATGGCGTTGAACCCAAGTGAAGGCGTGTCCAAGCTTTATGTTGCCAACGAATTGGCTTGGTGGCCTCGATGCGTCGATTCGCAGGGCTTCGACGTCATGGACCCGATGTTCCTCTTCGTTGGGCGCCTGGCGGTGCAGAAGGGGCCCGATCTCCTCCTCGAGGCGGCCTGGCAGAGCGGCGATCGGCGTTTGGAGAGGGGCGAGGACCGGTCCCCTTTTTGGGGGATGGGACTGGGGGGAGGTTGGCAGATTCCGTTTTGTCTTGGTCCCGAATTTGTAGTGTGGCAGACCTCAACCCGATCTATCTCAGGAGCAGCTGAGGAAGGACAAGAATAAATGTACAGAGTATCACACTGAACCACTTTAGGACTTCCAAGACTTGTGCTAGAAATCACTGATCTATTCATGGATGATCTAGTTGATCTTGTTGTTCTTGGAGTCCAAATCACAAGGCGGGTATTGAACGACATCGAATGCTTTGTAGTGTTAGGTAGCGCCCTGATCCGTGAGGCAGTGCCGATGATCCTTCAGGCCCGGGGCAACGCCAAGTTCGTGATTGCCGCTCGGCAGAGTACCGGTGACCCGTGGACACCGGTGGACTGGTGGATGGAGAGCAAACATGTTGAAGGCAACCATCCCGGTGGGAATTAGAGCTATAGAATGGAGACTCCCAGGGTTGAGGTTGAATTCCAAGGAGGAGAGTCGAAAGAAGTATTGTAACATTGACATGCTAAACTAAACACATGTTTGTAACGGTAGAACACATCCAAGTGCATCCGGATGTGGGGGGCAAAAGAGGCACACCCAACTGGAGACTCAGTCGAAAGGATGCGCAAGAGGCCGACGCGTGGACGGCTTTTCTGGAGCTTCCGACAAGTAGATCGGATGCAAAGCTGACTCAAATCCTCCCACCAATGGCGACCTTGGAGAGCAAAGCGGGACACCAAAACTGTAGATCCACAGTGCACCGGGAGGCTGGTGAATTCGATCGAATTGGACCTCGCTCTCCCAAGGTCGGAGACGGCCACATGAAGGCGCACTTGGAAGCCCGTGCCCACCAGCCACGCGCCTTGAAATCTACTGAATGCTTCGCATCTATATTTGAGCAAAGTGCTAAAGGTCGGCACTCACCTTTCTTCAAAAAAGAAAATTTGGATGTTTCTTTGAAAAAACGATAGTCATCCCAAAAAAGATATATACCTAGCCTTGTGACAGTACACATCTTGGAATCTATCTTTGCCTATTGACCATGCATGTTTTGCCGGTCGCTTATTTGCATATCCGAGAGGATGATCTTTTGGAACAGACGGGATGTCTTGCAGCTCCGCCACGGCCACCAGGTTGGGCGTGGGCCATGCTGTGCACTTCGCGGGTTCCGCCCGGACGTTCCCAGCCGCCGTTCTCCGCGCGCGCGCGCGTGTATCGGAGCGAGCGACACGTCGGCGTCGGAGCGGAGCGGGATGTGGAACGGCCGAGGTGAAGAGTGGCACTACGCATTTGAAGGCGAGGAGACGGACGCTGGAGCTATTTAGGATGGAGATGTGGAGATGTGGTGACCATTGATCCAAATGCGAAGAGACACAACATTCGGGGGTGATCACACTCCAAGATGTTTGTTTTCAAGAAAGGGGCCTTGCTAGGCTGCTAATTAGACATGTGACATGGATAGCACTGGTAGCGGGCAGACAAGCTGTTGAAGACTGCCCCAAGATGTCTCACTGGGTAGACGGGTTTGAGAACCCAAGAAGTTGGCCACCACGTCTTGGTTCAATGAACGATGCACTCCGAGTCACGTTCCATGGAGAAACATGGTCCATCCAACGTCCATTTCCATGATGATTTCAGGGAGTGTACTGTACATTCTTTTTATATGAGAACTGGACAACCTCATTCTCCCCCTGAGCCCTGGTTGGTTCAGAATGGATTGAAAGAGGGGAGAACCTCCCGGCAAAGGGAGGACTCTCCCCATCTCCCCTTGGGGTCGGTCCCGAGATTTTGCTCATCACTCTATGACTCATATGAATCCCCTTGGAGAGCCTTCGATACCTAAAATTGATGAGCAAAATCCCTCAAAGACCTCATGTGAAACCCTTCAATCCTTTGGTCAATATCTGACATATCCTTTTGGGGATCCCCCCAAAAGAGAGTTTTCTGCTGCAAAGACCGGCTGGGTCACAGATGGTCATAGCATCTTCGAAGGATTCACCGTAACAGCCAAAACCTGATAGAAGCTCCCTTAATGTCTCTTGTACTGCATGGCTGCAAACCCCGCAAAACTATCCATTTGGGGTGTGCCAGGCTTAATTTCTTGAATTCTCTCCTCCTGCCAGGCCCTCTTCAAATCGTGTGATGCTGTCATTGTGCCCAGCCGAAACGAACCCTTTGGCATTGTGGTGCTGGAGGCCAGACGATTCGACATGGAGTGGAGAGTTGACCTTTTTGTTGAATTCCAATGGGTGTGTATTTTCATACGGGGACCTGCCAACCAACATCATTCCGATGGTGTAGATGTTCTTTCTCCGGAGAAGGGACGTTACGAAGCAACAGCTGCTTGTTCCACCTTCCACCCAGTGGTGTTTTAACATGTTTTAACGTCCCGACTCTGAGAAGGTCGAACGTGGCTTTTTTTTTGAATCCACGCCACCAGGACGTGTGTGTTTTTTTTCATGAAGCGGGCCACCTTCAAAGCATTCAAAGCCTTAGAGTGTGCGTCATGTAGACAAGTTGATAAATAAGCCCAAACCAAACCAGGACAGCTTTAACATCTCCCGGTGTCCATTTGGGCTAAACAATGCTAAATGCAAAACTGCTGAACATATCCATTTGAGATCGCTTGTGCCGTTGCGGAGATCTTCAGATATGAGTGATGGACAAAACCAGCCCCTTAATTTGATCAATTTGACTCTAGCCGCTAGCCAGTGCTACGGAAAAAATCATGTGAGTGAGTGCTGGACCACCCGACCGAGGGACTCCAGAGCCGGCAGACTCCTTTTTCCGGTTCTGCTGCAGGTCATGCCCGGGAGAACATCTCCGAGACCCCATGGGTGCAACCCGTTTCAGGTTCTCAACCCCAACCCCAAAATATCACAACAGATACCATACATATCCAACACTAAGTGGATCCTGAAAGGCTTGGTGACCAGATCTGGTGCAAAGAGAACCAGCCGAAGCGAACGGCGCCGAACGCTTCGGGGGGGGACGTCCATCGGCCGATGCGGTTGTTCCATTCCATCGCCCGACGGGTTGTCATAGGCCTGGGCGGCCAGCAAGCCAGTGATTGCCACCACCTGTGGTGGTCCCAGGGACTTCGCCCCTCAGCCGCAGCTCTTCATTCCAAAATTCCGGAAGGTGGCCCTCAGGGGCGGCGAGAGGGCGCCCAGGGGCGAGGGCACAGGTCTTGTGATGTCTTGTGATGTCTTGGGCGAATGGATGGTTTCTGGGGGGCATGAGGTGCGACCGGATCGAGAAGGATATTTGGTGGATCCCAATCCAGGGAGCATCGCCGGGGAGCCTCAGATTTCAGCATCGAAACGCTGAAAACACGCCTCGATGAAGCGATGAGAATACATGCGAGCCCATCTTCCGACTTCCATGAGGCATGGGGCTGCTGCAAGATTTGCGAAAACTTCGAACACGCCAGGCCAGGTTGCGACATCTCCGACCCACCCGCCGTTTGGAGTCACCCGGATTGTTCCATACACTCCATACACCATGTACGTGTTGACTGGACATCGGTCGTCACCCGCTACCATCCACAGGTGGATGGGAGGAGTCGCCAAAGAGAAGGTGAGGACTGGGCGCATTCGGCTGGCGCATGGGGGCGATCCTCTCGGCGCAGAGCTGTCGGACACCCGACTCAAAACGAGCAGGCAGAATCAGGTAGAAAAAGGTGAATGAGCCGTTTTCCAAGGAAATCAGGCGGAAAAAGGTTTACAATCAATCATGATTCAATAAAAAACAGCTCGGGAGTCAGTCATAGGAGTCATAGGCATTCAGAAGAGGTGGTCGACGATCAACTCTGACATCATAGGATCGTGACTTGGGAGAAGAAAGACCTGTGACATGGTTGGAGCGGCATAGGACAGGTTCCACACCCAGAATTTCGGGCCTGGTGTTTCACCTGTTTTAGACCTCAGATGTTCCCCAAGAATGACCTATAGTCACCCAGTGACATCTTGCGATGAAGTTTCTACAAGAAACCGTGCGGAACATACGTGGGACATCAATGGGACACGAAGTCCAGTGACCCGAATTCCGCCACCGGTGACCCCACCGCGCAGCCTCACCACCCTTCCACCTCTCTGGTTTCGTGCGATCGGGCACGGGAGCAGTGGAAGGCCCTGAACGAGTTCAACTGGTCCTTCATTGCTCGCAAGACCGAGCAGCCCGGGGAACCCGGATTTGGAGGGAACAGCGGAGGGTTCACTGCGGCTTCGAGGAAAGCGCAGCGTTGGGCTGTTTCGGTGATGTGGTGGTTTTGTCTTTTTGTTTCAGGAGGTTGACGTGTATTGGTTTATATCATTTTATATCTAATTTATAACTATATATTATATTGGACATAGGATTTTATGAACCTATCGCCGAATAATTATCACAAACCTGCAAACATACTAATTACAAGTTTCAGGGAAAACAGTTGTCCTTTGCGATAACATGTTCTTCGCCGGTGTGCCAAAAACATTGCAGCTCTCCATGTTTGACACCCAACAGCTGTCCAGCTCCGCAGGATGTTGCGGGTTCAAATGCATTGACAGCTGGCCAATCCCATTACATCAAAAAGAGGCCAAGAGTACCTATTTTGGAAAATCCACAGGTTTCCAGAAGCGGGCCGTGTTTGTTTGAAGAAGTAGTACTAGGTCAAAGCCAAACACAGCCGTCTTGGAAGCAGCTGGTATGGATCATTTGGGATGTCTTTTTTTCACCCATTCAGATCTATCCCGCGGCAGGAAGGCCGTGCGGCCCTCCTCACACGCGCCAGGATCTACTACGAGCAGATGAACCTCCATGGTACGGGGCTGACAGGGGATGAGTGGGATGATGATGACATCACTTGCCATTTGCGGAGGACTAAAACTAACCAACGCAAATTGGTTTATATAGAGTTTGTCCTAGATGAGGAACATGAGACGGTACGTAGACCGAAAAGAAATGGAATGTTCACTAAAGAGCGAATGAACCTCAGAACCCTTGTGTGTCTTTTTAGATTCCTTTTTTTTGACCAACACTGCTTCGTACATCTTTGCACCTCTTCAGAATCCCCCCCCACTTCCGACCCGCCTTCCAACCCACCTGGACCTTCCAACCCACCTGGATCCGTCGAGCGAGACGCGAAATCGACGCTTTTCCTCGATCAGTCTCCTGTTCCGGTGGCGCCAAAGGTACCCCGAAGTTCCGCTACACGGGCTTGGGCATTGGCTCGCCCTTCGCGGCGCAGGTCTTAGGACAGCACCGGCCGCTCGGTTCAGCGGTGAGTCGAACGTCGACGTGCGCGCGGTTGGTTTGTTTGTTTGTTTGTCTGTTTTTGGGTAGTGGTTGAAACGCGGTGTTTTGTGGTGAAGGGGGTGAAGTTTGGGAGAAAGACAGGATTCTTTTCGGGGAGGTGTAGAGCGACTCTAAGCTGGTCTTTTTCAAGGAAGCAGGAGCGCTTAAGTGGAAGGGGATCTGTTTGGAACCAATGAACCAATGGTGACCTGCTGTGGAAGTAATTACCCGAACGAAGAACGACTGTTGGGGATGTGGACAAACTGCCAGAACTGTGGATGTCCCGGCAACAATGATCAAATTGGCGGGTCGATGGTATGTTTCGTTGTGGTCCAGCAGGGAAAGACTATTTCACCGAGCCTCTTGGATCCAAAGATATCCAAAGTGTTGGGTGCAAAAAGTCTGGACCAACAATATACTGTACCCCATACACTCCATGGGACTGGAATATATGCCTACATTCACCCCCCAAACCACCCCAATGTAGGCAAATATTCCATACATGGAGCGTCTGATCAACTCGGGTTGGATCACAGGATTCCAAGCTGTGCCGACCGCTGAAATCACCGGATCCAGCGTCGAAAGCTCTTAACACCACGACATGGGGTCGGTGGACCATGGGTTCAGTCGATGGACCTGTGACCATTAGGGCTGGGAAGAAAAACGCTTGCTCCCTAGTCTTGACTCCATATTTCACAAAGCCGATGTTCATTTCGTTTTCCTGCTGAGAATGCCAGAGCCTGATGAGATACTCTGAGATACAGTACTTTTTTGGACTTGTCGGCGGGTTCAACGGCGGAGTGAGCAATTTGCAGAATCCTCCATAGAGTTCTTGTTGTTCTCATGTCTCCAGTTCCTTCCCACTTTTTCCTCATGAGCTGAAGCAACCAGTTTTTGAACCACTTGGTCAAGCCATGAACCACTTCTGATTCCACCAGAACCATGAACACCTCAGCTGCACCCAGCTGGTGATCCGAGGAACAACATGGGCGTCATGGAGAACAACCACCTGGTGATCCGAGGACTTCAGCTGTGGCCCGGCGGCTGTCCGACGTGGGCGTTTTGGTGTGTTTGGATTTATTCCTTTGTTTTTTCTGAGTGACCGCCCAGCCTCAGCTAGTTAGTGGACGGTCAGAGCCTCCTAGAAATGTCACTCTGCAAGCAACCAACCATTGTTTCTTTCACAAACAATGATCAATGCACCTCCTGCTTCTTTAGTGGTAGTTCGCTGGCCAGCAACCCTTTCAACGGAGGCCCAGCAATGAGGGATCCGGAAGGTGTGACGGGGTGTGTCCGACCTCAACAGGTGCTTCTCCTGACCTCACCGGTTGCCTGGCCCTCTCCCGTCCCTCGGACCGGACCGGCGGTTCTGGGCGCTCCGCACCGAGGCTGAAGATGTCGAAGCTGGTGTCGGCGGCCATGGGCCGCTCGGGCAGGATGAGATCGCGACGCGAGATCGCGACGCGACCGGGCCGAGCGTCCCCAAGCGTCCCCGAGCGTCTCCGGTTGCGCCTTTTTTGGAGAGGGTATGACTGGACCGTGCTGGCACCCACCCCAAGCAGCTTCGAAACGAAGGTACGACTGGAGCCCTAGGGCCCTAGGGTTTTATATTAGAGTCAACACCAACAAAGCAAAAGGCAGCAATTGGTCGTGCCACTGCCGAGAACTTCTCGTCGTGCCACGGACCTCGCACACACACATGGTACATATGGACATCGCTTGGCGATGTTCGGTCCACTTGACTCACTCAATCCATCTCAAAGCATCAGATCGGCTCACTGAGAAAAAAGACACCGGGACCCTGAAGATCTTGAAGCCCTGACCATTGCCATTGGTCATCTACATCAACCCTGTGGGTAAAGTTGCCAAGACATGTGGATGTGTCAAGACATGGAGAGCTAAAGCGGATAGCACGACACCCATTCTCACAACACCCACATACTATATGAACACTGATTGGTTTGGGGAAATCTCATGAGACCAAGGCAAACATAAACACACAAAAACCAAAGTAGTTTGGAAACCAACCATGGCAGAAACACCCAACAAACCGAATCGTTGTGTTTTTTTGGGTGGTTTCTTCTGACCTGACATCGCTCCGCACCCAAAAAGACATACGCTGGCGAACTCGTTTGGGAAGAACTCGTTCCCCCGAGGCTTGGATGCCAGCATGACCTGGATGGGCTCCGAGTGCGGCACCTGGATGGACGGTGTGGGATGGGACCGTCCCGTCCTGATGGATGGGCGCTGTGGCATGGTGAGACGGTGGCATGGTGATGTGTGGTTTTTGTTCAGCAATGACATCACCCGGAACTGGAACTCAATGATGTTTGTACTGTGAACTGTCATTGTAGGTTCTTCCTCTTCCACTTCTGCAGAAGACACCTTCCAAGATGGATCGATTCACCACCCGCCCGGCCGAAGGTTCGGCATGGTGGATCCGCTGGATTTGCCCCGACCTGGCAATGGCCACAGCAAGGACCTGGTTTTCTCGGGCTTTTCACAGACCGCTGCGACGCGGTGAAACGCAGGTGTTTGGGGTGTGAGACCGATCTGGTTCAGACAGTTCATCCCCCCGTATCCTTTTCTCCTTGATGCAGGACAAGGCCTATGTGCCCTACAGCCAAGCGGCTCCTTGTCCAAAAAGGCCTAGGTGACAGGAGGACGTGTTTTGACGTTTTCCAGCCTTCGGTGCTAAGGAAAATACCGGCCTGAAATACAAGCTGCAGCCTCAGATTTGCGAACATCAACACATTGCAGAACACAAAAATGCATCACATCTGATGATCTTCTGGTGGTCAGATCAGAGAAACCGAGACTGCTGCACTACTTGCGGTTCAAGACTTTGCACATAATATAATGTTCATTATAGCATGATATAGCGAGGCTCCATGGGACTGGAATATATGCTTGACCCGTTCAACCACCCCAATGATGCCACATGTGCCAGTCCCGGGCTGGGTCTCAGTCGAACGTGTTCCACAGGCATTTGGACGTCTTCGACGTGTTCCTGAACCGAATTGGCGCTTCACTGCAGTCGCCTGGGCGCGTCTTCGTCCGGAGAAGCCGCCGCGGTGGTGTTTTCTCTCCGTCGCGACTTGGGAGGTGAAGACGTTGATCGTCCGTGTCGGGCGTGGAGTCTGCACTCTGCCTGCGTTGGTTCGAAGGTTCCAGAATGTTCCAGAAGGTATGTCCCCTGGTAGGTGTGAGATAGGCCTGTGAGGTACCTACCTCTTTGGCGGATGTCACAGATGTCCCACAGGGTCCCAAGTGGTTTCATTTTTGTTCCAGTAAAATTAACGGAGTTCACCTGCTGGAGTCGAAGGAATACAGGGAAGTCAAGAGGAAGAGACGAGAAATCAGACGATTTCTATAGCTATGATGGTGAATTTCTGAAATGAGAGGACCCTGAGGGCGAGAATCCGTTGAGAATGAAAGGGCTTTATGATGTGATCCGATGGAGGCGGATGCCCCCGTCCACTTCTCCGGACTTGCCAGGTGGCTGCAGAGCCCCACGCATCATGTAGCGCTGGCCGATGAGGAGAAAAAGATCCTGTGTTTTGTGAGGAGTGGCCAGACACCCAGCGCCGGTCGTTTCGGCCGAAACCGGCCGAAACGTCGAAGAGGTGAGTGAGATATTGGTGAGGCAACCAACCTTCCTGTTTCCGGAAGGTATTTTGGTTGGGGCTGGGTTGGAAGGAATGCCGGAGTTTGACAGATCTCCATCGTTTATCTCTCTCTCTCTCTATAGGCATTACATCATGGTATTAGAATATTTTGTATTGAATGGGTTGAATTTCCAAAGATCACTGGGAAGGGGATAAACAACTAAATTCAATGTACGGGGTTCCCTTTTCTTATTCATACATCAGTTGTTCAAACATGTTCAAACTATAGAGTTCTTTCAGATACATACATATAGAGTATTTATTGCCCAGCCCAGTGGACGACTGTGCCACAAGACCTCATCCTTTCCCTTGTCGAGGCTGCATTTTCGCCATCAACTTCCATCCCTGCGAGGGTCAAACCGACTTCAGAATAGACTTGCCCAAGGCAGGTGCTGCACTGCTTAGCGGCGGAACGCGCGAGGAATGCGGGCCTTGATTTGCTAGTTGCTCGAGTGATGGAAAGCATGATCTGATCAGTGTAGCGTGGCACTGGAATTGACGCGGCTTTTGTTGCGTCTTTGTTGCTCCCCACCCAAAAGGTGGTTTATAGACCCCCCTGAAGATGTATTTACCATCTAATAACCACCCGAACTGGGTGGTGCTGGTAGAATATGTAGTGGTGCAACGACCGGTTCCGCGCAACGGTCTGTGGAGACCGGTCCACGGGTCCGAAGCGGAGCGGATCGGCGCTCTGCAGGATGTGCAGATCGCGAGGGAGGTGGTGGTCGCTTTAGACACCGAGGAGAATGTGTGTGTGTGTGTTTTTGAAACAACAGGGAGATAGAGATCCATGTCGAAAGAAGTAAGGAGCATGAACAGCTATACTGGATTATAATGGATTATACTGGCTATATATCTGGTATGATCACAAGCCATGTAAGTCAACGCCCACCAGTTGTTCCAGTTGGTCCGCTCGCCATGGACGAACACGACGAACGGACCCACGGCAACGATGAAATACGATTAGAACGTGCCAATGAGAAGGCGACGTTTTGGCGGGAAAGCGCTCTTCCGAGCGGCCCAAGAGTCACCCAAGGTCAAGCACTGTGTGTCAGAAGGATTCAGAAGGATCATCGCTTCAACTTGCTCCAACCAATGACAATTCAATACAAGAGCCAAAGGAATTCCTCTTGTGTTTTCATCGATCGAACAACCGGAGGATCCTCAGTTTGGGTTTTGCCCGGAGGATCCTCGCTTTGGCGGCGAGAACGAGAAGCCGCTCCTGAAGCCGACTCAAAAGGTCAGGGTCACGAGGGTGCTTCCGTTGGTTTCAATTTCAACGGATGCCCAGGAAGAAAGATCATTAAGAAACTCATGTTGAGATGCACAGACTCCACTTCTCTTCGGCTGGTTGAATCATTGTTACCACTTGGGGAGGGTTGGATGGGCTTGAACTCTTTCTGAAGTCAAGGTCTTCCAACAACGACTGGTGACACACGGACCTTGTTTTCACGTCCAGCATCCACTCTACTGGCCGCCAGTTCAACACGGGCCTCTTCAAGCTCAACCTGCCACCAAGGACAATCGCGCGGTTGGAAGGGGGCGGACAAGCACGTCCTGTTGACCAAATTTTCCTTTGGACGGGTTTGTTTTCAGGTCTGTTTTCTGATCACTGATTGATTGTCGCCAGGGTGTTGGGAGCCAAAAGGATGTACATGTGTATCATGTGTGCAGGATTTGGGGTGATCTCGTCGGGCTTTCAAAAGAGTTTCTTTTTGATCTCCGCTGTTGTATCAACAAAGTCCCACTACCTGGTTCATCATGCCTCTGGCATCATGGAACAACATCATGCAGCATCATGAAGTGATCAACACCATCCAAATCCTGATAATCCTGATAATGTAGACTCTTGATTAATTAACAAAGCACCCAATTGAAATGGACAATCCTCTTCATATGGGGGTCTTATTAATCAAGTACATTAGAGCATGATGGAGTCGTGAGAGATGAGATGGCCCCCCTGGCCCAGATGAGATGAGTCGTGAATAGATGTGAGATGTGGAGAAAAGACGATGCTCCTGCAGTGCCGGTTTGATTGATTCATGTTGATTCTGTACTCTTTGCTAGAAACAATGTTCGCTACTAGGAACAAGTGCCTCGCTAGTAGTAACAGGTGCCTTACTAGTAGTAACAAGAAGCTAGTATCTTTTAATCTCTTTTACCTCTTTTATTTTCTCCTTCACTCTTTGGGCAGATTCAGTTTGGCTATACCGCCCTCCTCGGGGCGGTGGGATGAAGGTGGCTCAAGACCGAACACCCGGTGGCTGCAGCTGTTGCTTTGTCGAAAAGGTTCGCAAAAGCATCTATAGACAATCTAATCTAAAAATGCCTACTACGTGGTTAATATATCAAAAAGATCAACAGGCTCCTCTATCCAATATATTACATATCCTCATACTTTGCCAGGACCGGCCTGGTACTGGCACCCCTGGACAGAACAGAGAAAGCCTTGTCCGACAAATTGCCCGGGACTTCAGACAGGTGGAAGGTCGGGAAGAGGGCGACGTGGGTGTGACCATCTACGGCCATGGGTGTCCCAAGGGTGTCCATGGGTGTCCCATGACCTGTAACAGTGCGATAAACCATCATCATCAATGATCGCGATGTTTGGAGAAAGGCCTTAAACTTTACGAACCATCATCCACAGGCCGTAGATAAGGGTTCTTGGGATATATCCAAGGGTTCTTTAAACAGGGTTCAACAGGAATATCTACCGAAAGGCTGCGAAGGTCGACGAGGGACCTGGGCGCACTGCTGGGAACGCCCTCCAATCGAAAAATGCTGTTACGTTTTGACTGAGGGAAGCACGAGTAACAAGAAGACTCTTTTGCACAAAATTGCAAACCAATTTGCTAAAAAGACATCTGAGCTTGTGGATGGGAAGGAACTATCTGATGGGCACATTGAGAATGCCCCAAAGCTAAAGAAGGTGTCTCCAGAACGGCAAGCCGTCTGACAGCCAAAAAGGCTTAAAACACACCAAGCAGTGCCAAGCAGTTGTCACACTCAAAACCATAGATGTTTTTCTTTCTCGGATTTGGCCAGACCATCTTCACCGACCCCGCTGTTTCTCCAAACATGTTCAGCCCGGCAGGTCGGCTTCAGGAGTTCACATCGGTTTCATGTGGGACGCTTTCGGCGATTACACCCACTCTACGATTGAGGGGGGGAATATGGGGAATCCAAGATCTTGATCTGAGGTTGAAGTGTGAGACGGCGGACGCACTCCTTGGTGCGTAGGTGTTTGTCGCCTTCCATGGGCAGAGAGAATCAGAGAGATCAAAGCACCAGACCAAATCACCGTTTCTTCGGCAGACACCTGGTCCTCCCCAAGGAGTGCGATCGTCGGCCACTTTTCCGGCCACAAAGCCAGTGGCCCCTACGTCGTAATATCTTTCGCATAGATTTGCCCGTACAGTTTAAAGAGGCAAGTGTCTACAATCATGGACATTCAGGCCTGAGGGGCTCATGGCTTGTGGAAAGCCCTGCCCATGGTGCCATTGATTTCTCCTATTTTTCACCCGGACAAAACCGGGGCAGTCGCTTGGCTCGAGGGGAGGCACCCACAGCGTTTCCATGCGCCACTCGGAACTTGCGGGGTCCCGCAGCGGCGCCCTGCAGACTGTTTACCTGGGAGATCCTGGAAGACCCAGTCCCAACCAGAAAGAAATGGATGGAACTCCCCAGTCCCAGCCATCCAATATTTGTTCTGACGTAAAGAATGGCCATATCGGAAGAACCGATATTTGTTTCTGGTTGTTTTGCTTCGTCGAACCTCAAACTCACTAAGCCGCCTACGTAGCTTCGCATGACCGTTGTTCAGTTGACTTGTTTGCTTTTGTTTCTCACTGATGCTACAGGATGAGCTTCCCAACGACCCTTGATCTTAGCTGGGAGCTTAACGGTCAGCTTTGGATAATTGAACGCGATCCCCGAATCTCTTGGGATCCACGACGAGTTGCGCTCGCTGTTCGGCGGTTCAGATGCTGGCCGACGCTTCATTATCTTCATTAGGCTTCCAGACCATCACCCGTTTCGATGTTCACATCCTTTCACATCTGTTTTGGTTTCGATGTTGGGCCCAGAAAGACTTGGAAGCGCAGATGTTGCTCCTCGGCCCTTAAGAAGCGAAGATGTGACGCGCGTCCAGAAAAAGCGGGACTGCCCTGCGATAAGGGAAGGGAGCGGTGTCAGTCCTCCAGAGTGAACTTTGCCTTTGGGGTAGATTGAAGAGTCGAAAGAGACGTACAGTACGATTCTTCATCTTGAATCTTAGCTTTGCAAGTTGATTTTTTCCGCAATGAGAGACTCCAACTGAAACATGCTGAAACAACACGTTTGACAGATGAGCATTTGTTTGGAAGAATTCCCTCATTCAACTCCATCCTGCCCTCATCCCTCAGCCTCATCCCTCCATCCACCCTCATCCCAATCAGCTTGGCTGAGCTGCAACTGCAGGTGGGCAGATGTCACCTCTGCAAAGCCCCTGGAGCACACCCGTGGGCACTCCTGTGGCAGGCGCGTGAAACACTGCGGGTTCGCGGATGCAGAACATCCGACGAATTGAGAGGAATTGCTCAGAACATCTTAGAACTCTTGGCGCGCTTCCTCTGTAATTTCCAATCCTGGCCTCCTGTTCATGTACTGCCCCTGGACTCGTTCCAGATCTCAATTTCAGTACTTTGACATGCCTGTGCCTGTGTTCACATGGTTCCACCCCTTTATAGCTCCAAGTCCAGAACCTCCGACACCGGGTCCAGAACCTCCGTCCCGCTGCTGTTTGGCGGTGCCTGACCTCGGGCCTCTCGCAGGTGGTTATCCACCTCGGGCCTCTGCCTTTGCCTCAGGGACACCGCAGCTGATAGAATATGATCTCAATGTGAACGACCTGCGGTCGTGGACATCCGCCTGATTCGTGTCGACTTCTGCAGACAGCCCAGGTGTAAACGGCCGGCCGTGGTATGTATACCGTACCGGGCCGCGATATGGATCCCTATGGGTCCAGTCTGACCCAGGTCCAAACCTGGTCCTGAAAATAGCCGTGCCTACACTTAACATAAAAAGGGATGGCTAGAGCATGCTAGAGCTCTTTTTTCGATTATTAATATGCTAAAGAGTGAGGTGGGGTTGGGGTAGGTAGATTTATTGTGAGGAAGAAGCGTAAAAATGGGTTGGCCCATGTTGGCCACCAAACCAGTGACATGTAATAAAAAGGGGTTGGCACCCTGATTCTATTTTTAGCAGGCTGGTTTATAGAATCAGTGATGTTTTGAGATGTTGTGTATTGTGGCACTTCTTGCTGTGTCTCAAAATTGACCAGTGCCTGCACCAGGTTGCGAAATGAAAAGCATGGGAAGGATGATTGAACAGGAGTTTGAATCCTCCAAATCATTTGTAGAAATCAAGATGTTGAAACAAAACGAGCCATGCCAACATTTTGCTTCAAAGCCTTGGCTACCCTCACATCATTTTCTAAATCATGGCCTTACCTGATCAAATTTTCAACGTTGGCTCCACTGATCTATTTTGAGAGTTTTTTTTTTCAACCTTGGCCCGCTCTTATTTTATTTTGACTTCAGCCTTGGCTACTCTGATTCTGTGTTATTTTCAGGGGTTCCAACCCCTGCAACATAGAATCGAACGGCTATCCTGAAAACCTCATGGCGAGTAGTGTTTTTGTATCAACTCCAGTAAAATGAGATCTTGTGGGGTTTGGTTTTGATCTACGAGTGTTGTATTTTAACAGATCCCCAGACTGGCAGTGCCCTCCCGTCGTGAGGTTGGACCTACTCTCCCACGCCACGGCCGGGGCTGCCGAGCTCCGCGCTGGGCACCAGCTGGCGCTGGGCGCGTGAACATCCTTCGAGACATTGGTGGTGACGGCCTGTTGATCCGCACTGATGCACTGATGTGCGGTCATTGAGGCACTGATGGGTGTTCTGGAAAAAAAGAAAGGATCTTCTTGGTGCCTGAAATTGTGGGTGACGTGGTTCTTTCGTGTCCTTTTCTTTGAAGCATGTACTTCACCGCGACTCAAAGACCTGTCTTTTGGGCCAGAGTGCGAGCGATTGAAGGGGTCACCTGTGTCACTGTTGAAGGGGCCCCCTATAGTTCGAACTCATTAATCCAATATTTTTCATCCTGGTCCTAGACTTGTAGTTCATCCCCTAGATTCCCCTATATAGGTAGTTCATTCCATGTTGATCCTAGTTCATCAATATATAGCATCCGTTTTGATTTGGGTTGAAGTCTGGGGTGTCCCTGCCCTGCCTGAGGCTTCCTATCAGTTCCCACCACTGCACCACAGGCCCAGGTTGCACGGTGTCCCAGAGCTGAGGAGCAGCGAGACCACCGAGTTGGCCCAGAGACCCCACCCTTGCTCCGTTCGTAGCGATGCCCTTGGTTCCGTTCGTAGCTTCTTGTTTGTTTGGATCACTGTTTGGATCTGTCAGTCTTTTTGGGACCGTGCGCGGCATATGCCCGCCATGCGCATCAGCGCGCGCCCCCCCGAAAGGTTCGGACCGCCGTGCTCCGGCCGGGTCGGAACGCCGAAGCCTGGCCTGGCGCACCTGGCGGTCGACGACCACCCATCGTGGGCATTTCAGATCATAGATAATATGTTGAATTTGGTTGGTTGATTAACAGGAGGGAGTACCCTGAAGTGTACAACCAACCAGGATCCAAATGGATCCGTACCCCTGAATAGTGATAATTATCACTCCGTTTTGTAAATCAGTCCAACCGCATTATGAAGGAATTATATATATATATACCTAGAACCCAATTGACCCCTGTTTTGATAGGAAAAGGCAATATTTCGGGTGGTTGGTGGTCCAAAATAGAGGTCATTCAGGTTCCAGGTATATATTAGTCCTGGCACCGACCCGTCGATTCCCGGGACCGGACCGACCTCGGAGGTGCATCGCGCCAGCAGCGCCACGACTCTGCCTCGGGCAAGCATCTCGAACGAGTTATCGAACGGGCGGGGGGGGGAGGTGGGGAGGGCAGCTTCAAGCGTTCTTGTCACCGTGTAGTGCATATGTAGTGCATATTTAGAGAACTGAGATGGGTCAAATAATGGTCAAAATGCTGTAATTCAGTTCGATATAATAGAGTTCAGGTTTTTTTCTCTTGAGCCATCATACCTACACAATTGACGGATCCATGTTTATGCAGAAAAGCAGGCATCCTCCAAGCCCTTGAGAGAGGCTTTTGCAGGGTGACGTTGCCTTTCTCCTTTCGTCACCGAGGCATCACATCGCCAGCGGGGAGCCCGTTTGGCACTCCAGGGACTGGCTATCCGAGTGTCACTTGGGATGCAGAGTTTCACCACCCCACCTGGCAACCAATTAACCGCAACCGACAGCTGCTCCCCAGCGGCTGGCCGCGTTTGTGGCATTGCCTAGGTTCCAACTCCAACGATGACTCCTCGTGCCTGTGGCATGATTCCAATCCCAAACACCTTACAGGCACAAGCTCCTGCACAGGCGAAGCCGAGGGCGAGGAGGGGCGGTGGTGGACCACCTACCTGGGCCGGGCGTGCGTGCTGTCCTGCCAGGGTGGTGCCTCAAGGTCGGTGCCAAACGATGTGTGCTGCTTTGGGATGCTTTGGGTGTCTTTATATAGATCGATGTCTTTAGCTGGTTTTTCACAGTGAGTGTGCACTGCATTGGGAGCAACGTTGTGAAGCGAACGACGAATGGAAATTGTCAGATGCGCAAAACGTTACAAAAAGATGTCAACTAATGCACATTCGTTTCAAGATGTTTCAAGTGTGTGTTGGTGTCTTGGAAGTGACCATTTGCCTTGGTTGTGAACTGTTTGCGCCCAGTTCACTCGCTGCTGACGTTTGCCGACCTCCCTCGCTGTGAAAGGTGAAGCCAGCTGCGAGCATTTCATCCCTTCGATATCAGGCATCGCTCCGAACGAGTACAGAATGCCATGACGAATGCCCGCACTCCATGCAGTAAACCGTCGAGAATGGTGTCGTCAAGAATTGGAATCCTGAGGATTCCTGACCCACCAATGGTTCGACTCGGCATTGTAGAGTCACAATCACCCAGGTCAACCATTTGTACGGTCGTGGAAGGTTTGGCACATTCGAACCTTCTTTCAGCTTCCTCGATCTCTCGCACCGGCGCTGCAGGCGGCCTCTGGGGCGTCGACCGCCTACACCACACCAGTGACTTGGAGGTTGAGCGTCTGGTGGGGTTGTTAGTTTAGGGGCTGTGGATTTTTGAGGTGTGCTTTTGGTAGTTTTTGCAAGGGTCACTCTTTTGCGGAATATGGTGGACGATTTGGGAGGCAATTTGGTACCTTGGTCTGGCACAGGCAAGGAAAGGCCTTCAAAGAGCGGACCAGGGTGGAGTTGAACCACCACGGATTGGACGCGAAAGACGAGGTCTTCGGATCACAGTGCCTTACCCATTAGGCAACTGGTCCTCCTACTGCTTCAAGACAACGACATATCCCTGCATTTTTTCTTGCCACGCGTTGGAAGGTGGGAAGCAAAGTTTCTATGCAGCACGTGGTTATGATGCTTCACTGACAAGCAGTGCAGCTCGATAAAAACAAGTAATTAACTTTAGAAATGGAAATGACAGCATAAATCAAAGGTGGCAAGTTTGAAGTGGATATATTAAGCTTAAAAGTAGCGCGACTCACTTCAGAAATGGACATTGCGGCTGTGGGCGTTCAAAGGAAACAAGCCAGGTTTGTGACGAGTGTGTACGCAACTTGAAAAAGTGCTTCAGAAATGGAAATGACTGCTGTGGGATTTGGAAGGTGGAGGGTTTTGCGGGTGAAATGGGGGGAGATGAAGGACAAAAATGACTCTGGATTTGTATATTTCAATTTTTCCAATATGAAGAAGTTTTACGATCCATGTCTAAAGGAGGATTGACCTTCTAAAATGACAGACTTAGGATCAACTGGGCGGTTTCTAAGCGGAGAGAACTCTTTGTGGAACTGAAACCTTTCACAAAGTGGATTGAAAGAATTGAATGCCACTGCATCCTCCTCATCTAAAGGAGAATGTTGAACAATTGGAGCGGCATGTGGTGGGGTTTGCGATTCCCAGGTGTCTCAATCATCAGAGACCTCCACATGGTCGCAGCCGGTGCAGCAGATTCCCATACCACCGTTGAGGGCGAAGGTGGGGGCGGTGCACTGGTGGTGAAGATGTCCTCTTCCAGGACGCTCGTTTACAAGCTCGTTTGCCTGTAAAAGTCCGCAGTACTCCGATTTTGCTTTGAGTCCTGACAGTTTCGTAGATACACTGAGCCGAACAGAAAACTGCTTAAGGGAAGATTTGGGATATTTGGGCACGTCTCAAGCTCATCCTCGCAAGCACGCCTTCAACGCATACATAAGTACACCAGTTGCAATCACCTGCAATGAGACATGAGTTATCATGAGTGAGGTATAACTCCATCCAAATGCCCAAATGCAAGGTGATGCAAGGTGCAGTGTAGGCAGGTATGCACTGGTGACTTAAGTGCGCAGCACGAAAACATGGCGTCGCATCCACAGGATTCAGGGACTCAGGCAGCCCCGTGTTCCAAACTTAAACGACATGAAAAACACAAAACACGTGAGTGCACGAGCAAAGACACGGAACGTGACCGTTTTCACGCGAAGAGAAGCTCCGCTTTGTGGGTCTTAGGGTCTTGTAGTTCCGACTCTCCGAACGGGTTGGGGTGCTCATGATCGGCTGTTACCCGTCTCAACGCCCCTCCGAACTGGAACTGCCGGAGAATCGCCCTCGGAATCGAACTAGGGCGGATGAGGGCGGTTTTTCACGCGTGGCGCTGACGTGCGTTGATTGCGTTGGCTTATTATGTTGGCTTAAATGTTTGGATTTGTGCTTATACTCGTCGACTACATTCAGGGTGCATTCTACCCTCTAAAGGTCACATGGTTTGCTTGAGGTCTATGGTTTCTGCCTTGAACATGATCGCTTGGCAAGTGGCGAGTCACCCAACAAAAAGCGAAGAACGCTGCTTTTTTCATGATCCGCCTGAAAAACTGTGTCGAAATCGAGTCAAAACCAGGGTTGACATGGGCATCATCTCCTGCTAGGCGGGCATCATCCAAAACGATGAAAAACGTCGGAACGTCGTCTCGGGCTTGGATTGCGTTGCCTGGTTGATGGCTTGGTTGCCTGGTTGGCTTGGTTGGTTGATTGGTTGGTTGCCGCTAGTTGGTTGGACCATGGTCTGTTGGCACGAGGTGGGCGCTCCCTTCGACGTCCCGAGGGCCTCGGTGCGGGAGAAGCCGGAGGACCAAGGTCGAAATCGGACCTCGGATGGAAAGAAGCCAGTGAAAAGCCATGTCCATGCCATGGGCGCCCGGCAGATAGGCTTCATGTGATTTATATGATTTTATTTGGATGTTCATTTGGTTGATGTGAAGCAGAATTGGTATCTATAATTAGATCGTAATTATGCTTCATGGAACAGTGAACATCTCATGACCAAGCGTGGTCCAGTGGTCGAGGGAATTTGACATGGAGCCTGAAGCACCACGCTGCACCACGCTGAACCATCATGTCGTGCTCCCAGAGGTGATCATGGTTGAAAACCACTGAAAAGGTTTGGACACCTCCACTGAACAGATGATGATGGTCTAGACGGGTCCCAACTTCTGTTTGCCATTTTTTGGAAGATATGGTTTGATTCAAGGCGAGGCGAGGCTTGCAAAATGACGGCGCAATGCGCCAGCTGGTGAAAAAACCAGAATCCCCGAGCCCATTACGTGAAGCCAATCCTATCAGATAGCACAGGTGAGATGTAGCTGGGTCTGGGAGTGCTCGATTTTCTTGGAGTCTCCTGACTGAGGCGACATGAAAAATCTGCCCCACCATCCCTGGCGACATGGGGAAAGAGTTTGAGAAACCCAGACAGACATACCATGGCATGCCTAGATCTTCCAACTTCGCAGCAGTTTTCTGTCATCCATGGCTGGTTTGATGGATGAACAGGCAAACATGTTGCATCATGTTGCACCGTTGGAAGATCTATGGGTGTATGATGTTTCAAAACGCATGACCCCCTCGACCAAGTAGGTAGACGACTGGTCTATTTTCCTGACCTCCAGTGGGAGGCCTCCAGTGGAGGCCTCCCTATTTTAATACACACCGCTTATGGCCCTACTCAACCGTATGGGGTCGTTGACTCCGAGGTCACCGGGGTCCCCTCAAGCTGCTCCCTCTTTCAGGTGCCCCTCCTGGGCATCGCCGAGCCCGCTGGGGAACCTGGCAGAGTGGCTGACTTTCATCACTGGGAACCTCATGGGATGCTGTCCCGGAGAGGAGAAAAGAAGAGGAGAATGTAGGTAGCACAAACCTGTTACGGATATTTAAGTATATTTTAAGGTATGTGAGTGTGGCGAATTAGTGCCTTTGAAGTTGAAGGCTGGAGATTGATCTTGCGAAGGGGGTTGAGCAAGATTGCTCTTGTGATGTTTTGTGACTTTTGTGATGATCTGGGTATGGGTCAAGAGCTGGAAGGCTGGGGAAAACTGTTTCAATTTGGAAGTCTATAGGGGATTCATAACTATGATGAACAAAATACTTGGGGCAACGCATTGACAATTCGAGGCCCAAACATTGCAGAACTTGGTAAGATTGATAGGCTATGGCTTGGTGAGGTAGCTTGGTGTTTGTCCTGGCCTTGAGCTTGTAGAACTTCGCATCGAAAGAATAGAACAACTCTGTTGTCAACATGGTCCACATGGTCCACATGATTCTCGTTCCTTCAACGGGTTATCAACTGACTCCTTCGCTGGCCCAAGCTCTCAGGTTTTGTCTCACAAAAGGACATTTTTGTTGCTCTGTGGGACCCTTTGTACCACCTGAGAGATGACATGACCAGGCAACGCGTGAAGCGACGCTCGAAGCCACCGGAGAAGGCGTTGGGGCGCCTGAGGTCGGATTGCAGAAAAAGACGGCCAGTCAAGTGATGGTTTTGCTTTGTTTCTGACATGGACTCTTGGGTCTCCGGAGATTCAGGGTTTGATTTTGATTTGAATCCACTTCATGGGGGCCCATGGACGATTGCTGGTGTGGATGGAGTTGAAGTTCATGCAGATCTCGCCTTTCAGCCCCAAACAGGAGACAAATACCCTCTGACTCACTAGCATGGAAGTGGAAAACCACCTGTTTGTAGTGGAAAATGATCTTCCCTGGGGCCATTTCCATGTTAGTGAGTGGGAGTGTACATACAAAAAGTGGAGAACATTCTCTTCTGGAACTGCTGCAGGGTCAGATTCTTCTTTTTCGCAGCCTGGTGCTAAGGTCCAAGGAAGAGACGGCCTGATGCCCAAATCAAAAACGCGCGATGGGCTTTCGAGATCGTTGCCCTGTGTCTCCAAAAACGGCCTTCCTGAAGCGAAGGGTACTCTTCAGTGTCTGGTTTTCTGGCCGTCCCGGTGCACGTTTCAGATGGTCTCGCTTTTAGAGATGTTTTTGGATCCACTCAGGCTGCTGGCAAAGCGCCTGTGAAAAGTGAGGCCGGTTACCCGGTGGGTCGCTCCCGTGGTTGAGCCGAGCTGGTCCCCCAGAGCTGCGAGCATTTTGGGAGCTTGCCGGAGCTCTTCCAGGTTGGTCTAAGATCTATATGATACTGGGTTGGCCTTTCGGACATTTTTTATTTTTTGCTTTTTTGGGCTAGTGCTGGGCTTATACGATATAATAAGTTTAATAGTTAAACTATGGACTGACCACCACTGGACTGACTAGACTGGCTCAAACTTACTGTCTGACTCAAACCACCCTTCACCTTCATACCCTCATGGTTCATACTCAAACCACTGTTCATATGATAAGCGTTCTTCCCATTCTGAAATCATTCTGAAGTTAATTATAATATCTCATGGGCTATATTGTCACTGTCTGACTTGGACTGTCATCACTTCCATTCACTTCAGTGTCATACTTCGTCATAGCCTGACTTGCCGATCATGGAAGAGCCGGAAGAGCTTGACAAGTACGACGAGACAGGCGACATTGCCCGGGGTGACTCGAGTCTGACTAGAGCGCTCTAGTATGTAACATGAAAGTGGAATCGGAAGTATTGATATGCGGTAGCAGCCCCATGGTCCCTTGATGGGTTCACCCGCCTGACTTGCCAGGTAGACTGGAGGGAGTTGATCCTTCCAGATTGACTTCAACAACTTCATCCCCATTGTGGTGATTGACAGGCGTGCTTGGTGGGAGGAGGAGGTGGTTGACAGGTTCATGTCATTGACGTCATGAGTGTTCATGTCTGACATGATTTTGTAACTTTTGGCTCAGGTCTGTCAGGCTCAGGACATCGCATGCATTCCATGATATCGGACTGAGCGACTCACTCACATATCGGACTGACTGACTCACTCACATATCGACCGACTGCTTACTTCACAGACTCCCCTTCCCAAAAACACACTGTCCAGTTCGCGGTGCCTGACACGTGGCCTGACACGTGGCCTGACATGGAGGAGGTCTCTGGCATCGATGCGGCTGAGTCTGTGATGTGGACTCGTGAGGACTGGCCAGAAGGACTCATCATTTCCTATGGGACTGACGCCATCTACAGCACAACAGTGGATGGAGACGGTGGCCTGTTGAACATTCAAGTCATCCTTTCAACTCTTTTTTTTGGTGGGCCAGACCAGGTCGGTGAAGATGTGCAGTTTCTTAATTGCCTCACTGAAACGCTCCATTGAGGTTCTCGCGGATTGATGGTGATGCCACAACGGATTGCGCAAGAAGCGTCTGACTGCAGGGCCGTCCTTCTCTCACACGACATGGAGGCGATCTGGCCTGACAGCGACAGTGTGGCAGGATTTCTACAGAATCCCAAGCTGGACGGCTCCTATGGTTCCTTGACTTAACGTGTTTAACAATTTTTAAATAGTGTTTGTGGCATGACTCTTAGGCCATTTTGGCACCGCACCTGACTATGTAGCCTTTGAGCTCCTCTCCCTGACTGCAGGTAGCCTGACGGAACCGGAGTGCCTGTTTGACGTCCTGTCTGACCCCATGGCCCGGAAGCCTGCTTGCGCTGGAGTCCTGTGTGGCTTGACGGCGATTGCATCGGCAGGAATGGGTCGGGCTGGCACCAAGCCTTGGTGGCTGTGCCTGACATGCTCCTTGGCCAACATGTGGCTGGCTGACTGCAACGTTTATGTTTTTTCACCTTAGCCTAATTGACGTAGAGGTTGTTTAAAAATATGAGTTCAATGACAAAGACTTGGTTCAATTGTCTATTGCGGCAAGACTGGGAAGGTCGCTTCGCAAACTGTGGCGCTTCTGGTTGGCGGTCTAGTAAAGCAGCCAGTGTGGCTGGTTGACATTCATGGTCCCTGCGGCAAGCACCTTGCAGAGGTCCCAGAACTGTCTTCTAGTGTGAAGCTTGACATGAATCAGCCCTTACATTTTTAATTTTGAACAGGTGTTATTCGTGTTGAGTCATCCATCGCATTGGCTGGGTTTACTAACACTGAGCTGAGGAAGAGGCTGATGCTTGACTGGGTGCCAAAGTTCAACCATGATTTTGTCAACATGATAGTCATGAACGGCATGTGCCCGTCGCCACCACCAGCGCCTCAAGCGCCACCATTTGACGTCGAGGATGAGGTCCCAGAGTTTGACGAGGAGGAGGCGGAAGCGCCTGGGCCCATGTTTCAATAATGAAGATTTTTATTTTTGTCAATCAAAGTTTTTGGTTGCTTGATGGCTCACTCCTTGACTGACTGCTTGACTGTTAAGGTGTCAATGACCATAATGGCTAACACCATCAAAACACTGGCGCCTGACATCTATGTGGCTTTGCAACAGTTGAAAGTTGATTACTTTGCATGGACTGACAATTTGCAGCATTTGGAACATTTTCTTATTTTAAGTTGTTTTTAATTTAAATGTGTCAATAATTTGATTAGTCATTTACTGACTCTGATTGTCGGTTGGACTTAAGTTCATCTCAGGCCATGTATTCCGTCATGCATTTGGATGATCTCAGCCTGGCTAGCACCCGCGCGGAAGTGCCTGTCATTCTCAGTTTCTTGGCCTGACATGAGGTTGGCCCTCACAAACTTAGTTATTGTTTTAGTCAGACTTATGATGATGCTTTTTAGCCCAATCAGCTACATTGACTGGCATTGTCGCTCAACTCTAAGGAGAGGTGATGGGGAGGAGTGGCGGCAAGGGGACAAAGCAGGTGTGGCAAAACCCCAGCAGAGTCATTGCTAAGTTTTGCCGGGAAAGGTGTGACGAGTATCGCATGCGCTGCTCGGCTTAATTTAATGTTCACTTTTGACATTATTGCTTTGTCTTCACTTCAAAAATGTGTGATATGATTGATAAAACCATTAATTATAAAAATCAAGCTGACAAATTGTCAGAGTCAGCGTGCTGCTTAAGGCTGCAAGGAGAAGACTTATGGAGCAGTGCCTGACTACATGACGAGGAATGACCGCAGGGGCTCGGGCTCCAAGCCTCCGCCTGACGGGTCTGACGGGCCTGGCGCTTCTGCAGCAGCAGCTGAACCTGTGCCTCAACAGCAGTCAATGCCGACTGACCCTGAGCCGACGCCGACTGACCCCAGACAACTGCCTAGTGAAGAGTTTTTTTCGAATTGGTGGTTGGTGTCTGATGGCGGCGGGCCCTTGGTGGTGATGCCTGACTTCGGTCGTTGCATCAAAAAGTATCCCAAGGCTCCTTTGCGTGCCACCCCTCCAAAACTGAGAGGAACATTTGTCTTTGAAGTTAGGCATCCCTGGCATGCCCGGTCTGACCATGTGCTTCACAGCCCACCACCTTTGCCTTCATTGGAGAGTCAGAGTGAGCATGACTGTCGGCAGGAAGCCCCGACCAAGACACAAAGAGTGGCGTTCAAGCCCGCCTGACGAGTACTCTCCCTCTCCCACAGCAGCTGCGGAAGAACAACAAGACTTACCCTCCTCGGCGTGGGAGGCTTCTGCTTGGGAGAATCAGGGCGATCAAGAAAAGCCTGACCAGGCTGAGCCGGCTCCGTGCGAGGAGCAGGAGGAGGGGGCACCTGACCTGCCAGAAGAGAGGCCTGAAATTGTGTCACCAACATCGCCTGCAGATGGTATGATTCCGGAAGAAGAAAAGGCGGCTCAGACCAAGCCTGACACTGACATCAAGGACGGAGGAAAGGCTGGCAATGCGGAGGGAGATACCCCAAAGGCCAAGGGCAAGGGGCGGGATAGCCCAGACACCAAGGGCAAGGCTGCACCTAAGGGCAAGCATGAGCTTGACTCAAAGGGCAAAAGCAAGGATGACTTCAAGGGCATGAAGGGGCAGGGGAAGGAGGATTTCCAGAAGGGGAAGGACGACTTCAAGGGTAAGGCTGCACCTAAGGGAAAGGGCAAGGAAACGGACTATGAAGAAGAGAAGGGAAAGGGCAAGCCTGGTTTTGAGTTTGACTCAAAGGGCAAAGGCAAGGCGATGGATGACTTCCAGAAGGGGAAGGATGGTGGCAAGGAGATGGGGAAGGTTGACTTCCAGAAGGGGAAGGGGAAGGATGACTTTCAGAAGGGGAAGGATGACTTCCAGAAGGGGAAGGGGAAGGATGACTTCCAGAAGGGGAAGGATGACCTCCAGAAGGGGAAGGATGACTTCAAGGGCAAGTCTAAAGCCAAGGGAACGGATGACTTCAAGGGCAAGTCTAAAGCCAAGGGAACGGACCATGAAGAATCAGAAGGCGGCAAGGGGAAGGATGGTGGCAAGGGGAAGGCTTCATGGCATGACGTTGAAGACTTTGAGCCCGGTGAGGAAGACGACGACGATGAATGGGGCGAATGGGGACAATCTGACCAGAAGAGTGACTTGAATGACAATGATCATGGCTGTTGTTCATTTCTTATTTATTTAAAGGTGCCAGTCATTGATGTTCATGGCCATGTCTCATTGAGCAGGTTCTTACTACAACCAGGATCATCGTCAGCAGTGGGGCTGGGAGCATTATGGAGATCCTGCCCAGTACCCATGGCGGAGAACTCAGCCTTTTGAGACTTGGCAGAAATAGAGTTCAACAGCCTCTCACATCTCTTTGGGTGACATGTTAGCCCCTAAGCAAAGTTTGATGGTGACCATGGAGGCTTCTTTGTACCCCGTGATGGTGGCACTGGTACATGGTCGCAAGGTGCATGGTCCCAAGACAATTGGTCCGAAGGGCATGACGAATGGCACAGTGGCGAATGGCCTCAAGGGCATGACCAATGGTCCCAAGAGCCTGACAAATGGCACCAAGAACCTGACAATTGGTCCCAAGGGCCTGACAATTGGTCCCAAGGGCCTGA